TAATGCATATTTGTTTACAAGACACATCTCAGTGTTGTATCAAGAGGCTATCTTGGTATTGTCAGCTATGAAATAAACTACATCAGTAGTTAAGGAACATTGTCAAATTTGACAGGTATTTTAAAACTTGATGTTTGAGTTTTGGGTGTCCATAACGATTTTGTTCTGTTTTGTTCCTTAGTTCTCCTGTGTAAGAAATATTACCTACCTTCTGGCCTCTCGGGTCCTAGGTCTGGAGAGTTTATTTTGTCTTAAAAATGACAGAGCATGGTATTGCAGGCAGACAGCCCGAGCACCACGGGATCTCCCACTCAGCAGCTAAGTTGAAAGTACATGAAAATTGTAATCGTGTTGCTTAGAAGCTATTTGGGGTGCTTTAATGAGGTATAGTATGTCTTGCCTAAACAGGAATTTTTATGGTTTGATTTGAATTTAATTAAACAGTAATTGGCAATGGCTGCTGTTTAGTCTGAACAGCGTTAGGAAATCTGCGTAATGTGGAAGCCTTTGGCTATTGCCATCTAGAAGTGGTGGTTAATACGTGACATCCTGGAGTTGATCTCCTGAAATCAGAGGCTGTCAGGTGAAGATGAAAAGATGAAATGCAGCGACAGTTGTTTTTACACAATTCTTCAGGGCTATTACTGCAATAGACTTTCTTGGATTGACATCTGTGAACGTGGCATTCCATGTTCATGGCATTTCATTGACTCTGTAGGACCCCTTTATAGAGCTGGTTCTGGACAGAAATATGACTGAAAATAGAACCAAATCTTTTCTCTGTAGCCCGCTTTTAGTCATAAGGATGTAATATAGGAACTACAAAGCCACAGGAATGGCAGTGCTGCCATATTTCTACTTTGTGTTGAGTATCATCATCAGACCTTCTGCCTGTCTTGGTACCGCCTAAAGCAGAAAGGCTGAGCGTTGGTTTTGGGTGTCTGGCAGATTTTGGACTGGGATATGTTATCCTTGCTTTTGTACAAAGAGCAATCAAAATTAAGGGAGGATATGTTCACTGCAGAAAGTTGATTCTTTTTGGAGGATGCAGCTTTTCTGACCATAAGCATACTTTTTTAAAAAAATAAAAATAAAAATCAAGTGACCTGTAAGGTAAGAGAACTGGGCAGGGCCCAATATTTCTGCTTGGATGTGTAAGCTAATGTATTTCCCTTTTCAGATAGCGAGATGTCAGCTTCGTATAAATTATTCTATAGAAAACAGTAGAACTGACTAGCATTGATTTCTGTTTACCCTCCCCTTCCAAAGAATGTTGGTGAAGACTTTGTGGAGCTATTCCAGGCATCTGATTAAAAAGCACACTTCTACAGCTGAAGACTTGCTTTCTGTGTGCGTTAACTGAGACTGGAATAGCTCTCATCTTCTGAATGTACATGTGCACACAGTCACTGCCCGAGAGGATGTGTGTTCGTTGTGTGATCTGGCTTTCAGATTAGTGTCAACGATGCTTACAGTGTACACTCAGAGCAAATACTGCACTATGCAGTTGCCACTTTTAAATGTTTTGCACATGCTGTTGAGGCTTTTGAGGGCTTTTTCTTTCCTTTCCTTTTTTTTTAAGAACTCCAATCAATTTTACCATGGTGTGGGCTAAGTATTTGCCAAAGGTTATTTTTAAATGCATCTTTGACATTGCTGTATGCCACGTCTTCTATAAAAGTGTCTTAACTGTATCTTTGAATAATTCTATATTCATGGAATGACAATTTGGGCTTTTTTTTCCCCTAAAACACTTCTCTGTTGAGACCATGCATTGCAGAAGGTTTTCATCTCAAAGTAGGGATTTTGGCAGGGTGAGAGGATTACAGTATAATCAGTAACCTTTGGAAAACGGGGGTCTTTTAGTGGAGACACCGAAAGAACTGTAAGCAGTGCAGTCCAAGAGGTTGGAAAGCTGTGTTTGGAGCCCGTTTCGGTCCTTGGGCAGTACATGCAGCAGTGCTGTACTAATAACTGGAAGCTGTTTTGTTTTGTTTTCCTTCTTTCTCTATTTTTTTTTTTAAACACAGGAAGGCTTCGAGGATGGCTTCTGCATGGTTCCTAGTGTGTGCTGTGTGCTGGGGGGGGGGGTTTACAATACCTGGGTTTTGCTCTAGGCTCCTTGAGATGCATTGTGGTTTTTTTTGGCTAGCATGTCTTAAATCTTCAGGCTTTGAAATTGCTTTATAGAATTGTGTTGACTTTTTGTTCTGCTGTTGTTCAGTTGCACAGAGTTTTATATATATGATGTACTAGTTTTAACGTTAATTCTCTGTGAACAGGGTTGAGATTATTCATTGTAGTTTAAAAAAAAAAATGTATTCTAAAACTCCCTTTGAAAATCTTGTTTGTATTCTGTTGCAGTGTTACCAGATGGCCTTATGTACGTCACAGTGTTTTGTGATAAGTACAGTAGCACATTTAATGCTTATCTCTCCCAAACCCCTCTGTTTTTATAGCTGAGAAGTATATTCTTAATAATAGAGATGCATAAACGGGAAAATTTAAATGACATGTATGGTAAGGATAGTGGTCGTCTCCTCTAATGTGTGTTAGGACAGCTGGAATTAATCTGGGACTGAAATGGCTCTGAGTAGGGGCAGTTCACCAGCACAAGACTTTGTCTTGAGAATGTGAGAACTGCTGGGTGAGCTGATGGCAGATTTGAGTCGTATGCCAGCAGCTTGTAAATTGGGAAAGATGCCTTGGCTTCATCAGAACTGCTCTAACTTACACCAGCTGAGAATCTGGTCCTTGCAGCTTTTTGTCCGTGGCTTAGAGAGAGCCAGGGAGGGAAGGTTGAGCTAAATCTTTGAGAACTTCAGCAACCCAATCAGCTGTGGTGATATGTGACAGTTGTCATTCTGTTTAAAGTGCACATCTGTTTTGGAAAGTGATTTTCTGATGCCTTTAGTGTTACTCCTCAAGTGAGTTTTTAGGTTAATCTGGATTCTCTGTAAATCAGCAAGATGATTTCTGCAGTATTTTCGATACTACAGCAGCTCTGACATTTCTGCTTGGGGCAGGCTATGGAGACAATCATGTAAGTTAACTCATTAACTCTGAAATTGATTTGATTTTACTTTAATTTAAGTAAAAATGGTATTGAAGTCAGCAAATAACATTTTCAGTTACTCTTTCCAGAACAGAATTGCATTTAATATGCATATATAGTACCGAGTCGAGAGACAAAGCAAGTTGTGTTCTAGCAAACATCTGCTGGCTTCCTACAGTGGAGACTTACTCTAGACATGGACTTTTAGAGCCAGCTGTAATCTTACACCGCTTTGGTGCTCTTCTTACAGTTGGGTAAACTTGCCTGTGAGAGAGTAGCTTCTCAGTTGAACTTTTTTTTGAAAAGAAAAAAAAAAGAAAAAAAAAACTTATAAGAGTATCTTAATGCCATTGTGTTTTAAAAAAATGCTGGTATGTAATGCAAGTACATAAATAGCCAAAGTTTTCAGTAATTGTTCAGTGTTACTAAATTTGCTTTTATTTAACCTTCCAAGATAACATATTAGGAAGACCTTCAGCATGTTGATATCATATTGAAAAAAACTCCGATCAACTTGATTATCGCAGATATGCAGTTATTTGAACACATTTCAGGTTTGACTTTAGAATTTGGAGGGCAAAGTTCTATGATGCAAAACTTACTTTGGAGGACGTGCACTGTATTGACACTTCAAAGTAACTAATACTACTTTTCGAGAGTGGCATATTGGCAGTTTTTATTCAAACATAATGAAGGTCTTTCCTGAGAAATCAGGTGACTTTTCTATTGCTTCAATTTTTGTGCAAAAAAAAAAAAAAATCAATGTATTGCAATCTTTTTTTAAAAATGGGGTGGGAATAGTTAAAGAAAACTATTTTATGTAAGAACTGACAGAGGGATTTGCTTTGTATAATGCAAGCTGGCTTTAAAAAAGCATTGTAGCAAATTATTCAAGTCAATCATATGTTAATAGTTATGTGCAACCAGACATGCAAAACAATTGTATTTTTTTAAATAAATATTTTTAACAAAGTTCCTGATCTTTTGACTGTTTCTTTCAGTGGAGGAAATTGAAAGTGGCAGCTGCAGGGCGGCTTGCTCTGTGATAGTGAGGGAGTTCATCAGACCTCGAGCTAACCTGTCTTGTTGGCAGAAGCACAGGCTTGCTCGAATGGAGACAGAGATAGCACTGCTGCTGGCTTTGTGGTGCCATGCAGTTTTTGTGCCAGAGCAGGTACCGTTCCCCTCAGTGAGTAGTTCCTTTCCATATCCTCTCCATTTCCAGCAAAGTGGAAATCTGAATTATCAAGGACACTTCTATCAAAAGAAATACTGTTCTGGAAATTGCATTTTGCTAGGTATTGTCCGTCTACAAGGACATCATAAAACGTGTTTTGTTTTTTTTTTAAATAGCTGACAGCACCTGTTATGATATAAATGTAATCAGCATAGATGTCTTTCTAAATAACCTCCCTCAGTTTATTGTTTCATGCTCATTTCCTCTGTACAGACATGGAGAGAATGCTGTCATAGTGGGAGGGTCTCTATTAATACCAGACTTATTTATTTATTTTTGCTGTGATTGGGTTTTGCAGTACACCACTTACTTTTCATCCCAGCTGTCTCCAGGAGCGTAACAGTGGCATCCTGTGGCTCTAGAGAAGAATTACAGCATGCGCTGCACTGGATGTGAGGCAGGAGGGCTCCTGGAGGGTAGGGATGAGTTAAGCTCCAACTTCAACTGTGTTTATCCTCCTTCATGCTTTGACCTAGAGCACGTTCAGGTTTATGTATACAGCAGTAGCTCAACAAGACTACACTCTGAGAGGATTTCTACAGAAGCCACATGTGAAGATATTTTAGGGAAGGTAAGGGCTACTGCTTGGGAAAACAGAAATTCTATTTACCAGCTGTTAGATTCAATCTAAATTTGAGAGTCGGAACTGTTAAATAGAGTAGCTGATAGTCTTGGCCACAAAGGGCTTAAGTTACCTGAGTCCAGTCGTGCTGAGAATCTAGCAATCAATCACCTTTAATTAAACACTGCTTTATATACACACGTACATATGTACATCCACATACAGCAGTTAAAGCAAAAAGTACATGTCCAATCACTCACTGAAGAAATAGATGCATGGAGCTTTACATTCTAAAGCCAGTCCTTTCTTCGTAGCTTGTAATAGGCCATGCGTGGGTTATAAGAGTACCTTACAGAAGGCACCTGTCCTGTTATAATAAGTATTGCACAGATTAAGCAGCTGGAGGCTGGCTCCAAAATACCTCTGTTTAAGCTTCAACTGGAAGCTAGAAATAAAACTGCCCTAAAAGACACTGCAACTGTAGCAGCTAACATAATGACTTAAAGCAAAACAAAACATCACAACTCATTCTTGTCTCTAAAAAAGAAAGCTAATGATTTTAATAATCAAGAGGCCCTAGCATGCTGAATAAGACACTGTCTTAGTGAACATCTGATACTGTGTAATATACAAGAATCAACTGTGCAAATATAGATAGAGCCTGCTACCACTGTGCACTTGGTGGGTTCTACCAATAGCATAATTTTTCCCATTTGGAAGTATTCACGGAGATCACATACACTCCTGTGTTGCACCAAAAAATAGTTCAAAACCAGTATTGTGCTGTAAATTGTAAGGGTTCCTGTACTTTACAGACCGAAAAAAAGAAAAAAAAACGTCGAGGTCAATGACTTAAGCCAGAAGAATTTCAAAGTCTTACATATGGAACAAATTGTTCGCCTCCACCTTTCATCCTGAATCGGTAAGGAAAGCTCATTTGCAGGACTAATTGTTCTCCATCATCCCTTCCCTACTGCTGCAGCCTTTCAGGTACAGGGTAAGTCTGATGTTTATAGTCTTTTTGGTACATGTGGTACGGGCAACTTGTGCTTAGCTTCCCATGGTGTTTTAGGATGTTTTCTTGATTCTGACTTACCCAAACTAATGTGCTTTTGATTGCAGAAAACTTGCGTGATTTAGTCATTAAGTGTGAAATCATCCTTAATAGTACTGCTTAATTGTGTGCTGTTTTATTGCTTGTCTAGGGCACGGCCACTTCTTTAGCGCTGATACTGTCCAGTGTCATCCATTACTGCTGGTTTGTCAGGTGAGGCAGCATCCATATCTGCAAAATTGACATTAGATAGACATTAAAGTGAACGTGCATGAGGTCTCTGTCTGGATGTTGCTCTTCTATCACCCACCCCACCAGCTTTTTGCTTTGCTGGTCACAGAAGAAAGGCCTCAATCTCCAGTAACCTGAACAAGTTACTCATCTGTCACACAGTGCCCCTTCTGTAAGAGGTGCTTGAAAAGAAAAAGAGTGTGCATAGACTGGCGCAACAGGTAAGAAAAATCTTTCATCGGTGAGGCTTTTCTCACGAGCCTGACAGCTGTTTTGGAGGGCAGACCCAATCGTTCCCTGGATTTTAGCCAAGAAACAGCCTTGGGAAGCCTGTGCTAGCAGGGCTTACTCCTGCTAGCTCAGCCATAGCATGCAGTGCTAGTACAGCTGGCAGCCGATTTGGTTTAAGCTTCCTCTGTGATATCCACAGACCATTCCTAGTTTTTTCCCTTGCTTCTCCAACAGAAAAGAAAGCAAATTCTGAGCTGTGGCTGCCAAGGCTTTGTGGGCAAGTCAAAGCAGGAAGAAGGGGCAGGAAGCAGCAGTAAAATAAACATTTCCTTGCATTTTGCTGAAGTGCTGCACCCTGGTTATGTATTGATGCATATGCCACTCTTCCTCTCATTATAAAGCAGGGCTGCTTAGTGCTGGCGCTTTCTTACCTGACGGGGGCTTGGGGTACATCCTGTGGAAAAACAAGAGGAAAGCGTAGAAGGTAAAGGCCAAGCCTCCAAAGATCATTCCACAGACCAGGAAACTGTAGCTGCCCTGATCATGGATAATCTGCAATTGGAGGGGAAAAAAGAAAAAGGAACAGACGTGTCATCATAGCACTCAAATACCTAATTAGCAATTAGTGAGAGCTTTACTTTTCGATATCTCAAATGTAAACCAGTGCTTTTCCCCACAGCTACTGTCCAAAACTGAGACTAAGGTTTCTATTTAAAAGTTCCACTCAGTTTTTGGCATGCCCTGTCTTTTTCCTATGCCGACACTTACCGATCCCACCAGTAACTGCAGTACCATCTCTCCAATTCCAGCTCCAGTCACTAGCACGGTCGTGGCACAGCCTGCAAAGAAACAGTGCAAGAGATACTGCCAGAGAACAGATGATTCAGCCACCAGGACCAGGCTGGTAACTTCTTTAAACTGCTCCTTCACGGACCTCTCTGTACAAGATTTACAAACACTTGATGGATGTTTCCATCTAATGTTGAGAATCACTCTTCTAAAATGTGGGTAGTACAGAAAGGTAAAAGTTTAAGGCAAAAACCATCTCCTGTTCTGTAACTTGTCTCTGTCAGCAGAGGTGCTGCTGCTTCTTGCTGAAAAAAACTCATTTTTCTGTATCGCTGTCTCAGAGACTGAGGTTGGCAGAGACCTCCTATAAAAGCTGGCCAAACCAGGATTTTCAGTTCACTGATAACCTGGATGATGCTGTCAGAACAGAAACCCTCGTCAGTCCCTGAGAGCTCTAAAGCTGCAGGAAACTAAGCACCAGTCTGGATCCCTGCCTGTGGAAGTTATTAGCACAGTGAATCTGGGATTTGTGCAGTCAGGTTTTCCAATTACAAGCTTGAATGAAAATTGTATTTAGTAGCAGATCTTTCTTCCAGTCCTCCTAAGCATCCCTGAAGAGGGAAGGGGATTTGCTAGGTGTGATGGTGTCTGAGCTCTAGCCTTGAACACCTGCCTACTTTCAGAGTCTGCCAGGCGTGCCCAAATCCCTGCTTACCTTTGTACTGCAGGATGTCCTCAGTGTAGGCAAGCATGCTGGGGAAAGTGCTGCTGAGAAACAGACCCAGAGATGCTGTTCCCACAAACAAGAAGACAACACTGTAGGAGAAAATCAGGAGCAGGAGGAAGGTTATCAGGACTCCAACCTGTGGACAACAAACACAGAGAGTCAGCAGGAAGGTAAATGCTGAGTTACAGTAACTCTAGCTTTTCTCTTTTTCCCCATCAGAATACAACATCAACTACATTTTCACAGTCTAAAAAAAAAATGAAGTAACAAGTCAAATTAAAATCCATCTATCTTTACAGTGCAGAATTTGGTTCTTTTTCTAATGGGACTTAAAATGAATATATCTAATTTATCTGTCTTGACATCATTAGGTAGAGAGTTAAGATTATGTCTTGAAAAATACTTCTTTGGCTTTAAATACAACAGCACTGCTACCTCCATAATATAGATATGTTTCAATCATTAATAAGTCTTTCTCAGCAGGCTAAAGCATTCGCTCGCTCTCAATAACTGTTCACAACCCTACCCCTCACAAGCAGAGCCAAAGAGCCAAATAAATTTAAACAAACTTGCCCTCGCTTCTGGCTTGCTTTAGTGCACAAGTAATAGCAAAACCATCCAAGATGCAAAGAGTCAGCAGAGGGAGCTCTGCAATACCAACTCAAGTTACGTTTCTTAATCGTTCAGGCCCTAATTAGGGGTGTGTGCACATATACACAAGAGCAATTTGGATTCTAAAGAAAATGAATTCAAACTGCAGTTTGCTATAATGCTGGAACGACTGCCAAGAGCTGCTCTGTCGTACTACACAGAGCAGCACTTACCAGCAAGCACAGCATCGAGTGTTAGTCAAGCCAATTTTGTCCTTGGATGATACTACTACTGCTGCCTTTAAAGGGAAGTGAGAAGGCTTCTGTTAAGGGTTGGATGCTCTTCCCTCCTCTCTGCAAATATGAGCAGCTGCTAAAGAACTAAATCCTGTCCTTGGGTTTAATAGAGCAGTCATGCAATTAAGAAAAGTAATTAAGCAGATACATAGGACTGCTCACACCAGCTATCTGATCTAGAGCTGCTGGGGCTGAGCTTTCCCTGCTCCCATGTAACTAGTGACTGTGTTCTGAAATAGGAAGTAATTATACTCATTTTTAAAATAATTGCAATTCATTTGGCTGCAGCCATTGGTATCTAAAATTCGGTTTTAAAGTGACCAGCCACAAGGTGCCAAGCAAGCTTCCTCACCTGTGGCCTGTCTGCAACAGACCTTGGCCTTCAAAACATCCCCATGTGTACTGTCACCCCTCTTCTCTCACCACCTCACAATATTACTGTAAGACTTGCTATGAAAATAAATTCTGGTTTAAATAAATTGTAAATTAATTGCCATTTTTTTTTAAAAAACAAAACAATAACATGATGGGGAAATGGAACCAGCTCCTGTGCTGTTGTCTATCACATCCTTCTATACATCTTTGTTACATATCCTTTACAGGCTTCCTTCCCCTTTTTTCAAATGAATATATTTTAATTTAAGCAAACTAACCTTAACTTGATTTATTTCATAGCTGCTACAGTCTAAGCAGAGAATTTACTGAACTAGTGGATTTACTTCCTTCCCTTTCCCATGGCTAACACAAGCATTAATTTCCATGTAGATGCCAGAGAAGATAATGTGAGAAGTAAATAAAGTTGGCAGACACTTTACTAGGTGCTCTCAGAAATCTGGCATTAGATCAACTGAGGAGCAAGCTCAAGAAAAAGCAGTACAATCAAGTTGTAAGTCCTAGCTACCTCCTATATCTATCAGCTGCAAACACAGAGAGGGTTGCAGAGGAAGATGAACGCAGCCCGTGTGTGCTAGGCAGACTGCCTGGTGCAAATCTGGCCGGGGTATGCCCTGAGAATTGCTGCAGCTCTGCACACCAAAACCAAAAGGAGCACCTTGGAGGCAAGCAGAGCAGAGACATGGTAAAAATAGCCTTACCACATTGATGAAGACCATAGTCGCTGGCTTCATTCGGTAGGACACAGGAATAGAAATGAGTCTGCCCAATGTGATGAATCCCCAGAAGAGGCTGGGCAAGTAGCCAGCCACTTTATGGACCACAGAGAGAGGCTCTTCCACGGCATAGCTGTAAATGAAGCCCGAGTACTCTCCCTGTGGGAAAAACAAAACAGCATGTCACATCGACGTGGTGATTTACAGGCTTTGCAGCTTCATCCTGCCCCTCAAGTATTCACACTTGCGACCGTGCAGGAGCCCACCTATGGATTTGCTATCGAACCTCAGTGAATCTCGTTCCTAAGAGTTGGCAGCTGGAGACAAGCTTCCACCAGGAGGAGAACACAGGGCTTAAGCGCTCCTAAAAGGGCAAGACTTAACAGCTCTGCTAGGTAAAATACTTACTAAGCTCTTATCTATACAGATGCTTCCTTCCCTAAAGGCTGTCTTGGACTTGCACATTCTTAACACCTCTCCTCGTAAGAACCCAGACTCAGCCTTGAAGATGGAGGCCCTAAAAAGTTCCAGCGTCTGACAGCTGCTTCGTGTAACCCCACTCCTCTTTCACACCTTAGTGAGACCCAGCAGCGTTTTTACCCTGAGTGGACTGAGACAAAACTGTTGAAAGAAAAGGAACAACGGCCAGCCAAGAGTGAGTCTTCCTCCTCTGGACAGAAGTGCTACGTACAGCAAACCCGCTGTGCCTGCGCTGGTGAGGGACATGCCGTCAGGCCGCTACAGGGACCCCATGCATGCTCTCCTCTTGGATTTTGTGGGCTCAGGAGACCCGTCAAACAAAGAACCACCGTTTCTTAGGACATAAAACAAAGCTGTGCTTGCGCCCTGGCTGAAATGAGAAGACTTCCACTGCTCACAAGCAGACAACGCCACACCTCCAGCTCTAAACTGGCCAGGTTAGCAGCAGTAGCCATCCAGCTGCAGCACCGTAGAGCCTTAGAGAAATCACACAACCCTCCCAAGAAGCAGGGCAGGTATCAGCCAGACTGATTAGCTTTTAATGAGCTACCCTGGGAGCCAGACTGCTGCACAGGCAGACCCTCAGGTCCGGCCTGCTGCACATGAGGGACATGTGGTTGTCTCTAGGTTTGGGCTGTTTTAAGTGATTTGGAAGGAAGAAAGCCATGTAGCTTTGGTCAGACAAGAGCCCTCTATCAGCTGAACTCACCACAATCCCATCAGTCATGAAGAGAACAAGAGCCCCAGTGATGTGGACTGCGAAGTAGGTGTAAGAAGCCCCTCTGAAGTTTTTGCTTTGGCAGCAGCTAAATAAGTCATCATGACCTGGTGAAAAACAATGCAAAGCAAACTTAGCTGGAACGTCCCCCTGGGGCTGGGTGGTTGCCAGCCCGCAATGGGGATTTGTTTTGTGCTCAGCTGCAGGACAGAGACACGGAGAGGACTGTGAACAACGTGGAACACTGCTGACCTCTGCCAGCACGGCTTTCTGTACCTACCTAGAAAACTTCAGAAGGAAGACATGCTTTGAGGCTGCTATCCACAGACCGGGATCCTAGCTCTCCAAGATACTTGCTGCTTATCTCTCAGGAGCTGCTTAGGCTCTTCTTCCCATTCCTGAGCTCCACTTTGCTGGCCCCACTCGTACAGTCAAAAGAAACAAGCCCATTCAGCCCCAGCACTTGTGTTCAGCGTCCCTCACAGCCACATGGACGAGCCCTGCCCAGGACAGCTCACATTCTCCAGCTAAACGATATTTAACCAAACAAGCCAGCTCTGGGAAAGAGGGTGATAAACACACAAGCTGGTGTTGCTTCCTCTGAGTCGACAGCAGAACAAGAATGTGCTCGAGCCTGCTGGGGACCGGGACCCCAGGCACGGCTGACTTGCCCCCTGCCACACCACCTCGTCACACTGCAGGGAGTGCAAAGCACCAGCCTTAACCTCACTGCACTCGGAGCCCGGAGCAGGTGAGATGATTGCTCCTGCACGGGCAAAGATGAAATTCTCACTGCTTCTATGGGGAAGGAGGGATTTTGCCAGCACAGACGTGCCTGCCAAAGATCACAGTAGTCAGCCAAATAGCCTCCCAGCTTCTCTAAGGATTCATCCCAAAGGCGTTTAAGAGAAGGATGGAGATTTGATGACCATGAGGCTCCAGTGGGTTGTATGAAAACGGGCAGCTGGGCTGAGGAAAGAAGCCCTCAGTGTCTCAGCTAAGGGAAATGCTATTAGATGAACACAGCCTTACTAGACACCAGAGAACCCACACCGCTAGGCACAGTTACGAATCATTCTCTGCAGCACCTCACCACATCTCTAACTGCATCTGCTTCCAAGTTTTCCCTAAAATTTAATTGTTAAGGTAAAGCCATCTCTTCTGTAACAACGCTCCTCTCATAACCCTAAAACGTGATTACTTCCGAGATTCACTAGCTGGAGAATTGACTTTGATATGTTTCTCTTGGGTAGCAAAGAACAATGCTACTATTGTCCACAAAACGGGGTGTAGTCACAAGTTCAAACTATTGCTGGAATTTAACTTTTCGCCTCGAAAAAGGGCACTATCCTTATTCCTTTCAGATCTATTAAAAAAAATAAAATCAGCTTTCTGCAGAACGATCGCCACTTTTATTCTGAACCGTCAGAGGAGCCAGCTCAAAACCTGACTGCAAACCAGAAGGAAACAAAGGGGCATGACTTTCACGTGTGCTTAAAAAAACCTTGAGAGCCCAGGATTAATTTCGGGGAGCTTGCAGGAAAGCAGCCTGGCATCCCAGTGACAGCATACTAACCTCTGGTCAGGGGTTACGGTCCCAACAAATCTGAGGGCAATTGGGCACCAAACGGGATTGTTTGGGTACTTTTGGATTACACTCACTTGTATGTTTTGGAAAGTTTTCTCCTTAGACAATAGCAATTAAGCTCACTTGTTAAACTCAATGGAGACATTCTGAAATTCATCTTTTTTCTTTTTTTTCCCCCCCCAGCTCACCACCCTTCCCCCAGACCCGTTAAGAGAGGTGCCTCCAGCTCACCTCCTGCTGCGTGGGGTCTCTGCACGGAGGTAGCGAGATCGTCCTTCACCGTAGGTCGTGTTTCCATCGCCAGCTCGTCTGCTGACAGCAGTGGATGGCTGCTGCTGTTGAAGCACGGCACCATCCGCTCCTTGTAGAGCAAGAAGAACACCGCGATGGGGACTGGCAGCTGTGGAGGAGGAGCAGAGAGGGGCAGGTAAGCACTGCACACATCCCACACAGAGCACAGGCCAGTTCCCCACTCACGAGGGACTTTTAGGAAGCTGGATTCAGCACCTACAATAGATATTGGTGAGTTAACCTCCCTCTGAGAGCAACCTCACGCTGCTCTGACCTCTGGGCAAGGGCAGAAGCTGGCAAAGGGGTAAGGAGCCACTGCAGGAAGGACTGAGGCTTGTTAGTGAAACATACTAAAAAAAATTAAAAAAATAAAAAAAAAAAGGCATAAATCTGAGAAGATTCTCAATCCGGACAATCTGGGTGCGGGGGTCCTGGTAGGGCTGGGACCATTCACCTGGGCTGGGGGCAGGAGCACTAGACCAGAAGGCACCCGATACACACCTCCTGAAGCCTGTACCAACCCTTTGAAACCAAAACGTTCTGGTTTCCAAGCAGGCGTCTACTTCTGCAAAAAGAATAATAATAAAGTAGCTTTTTTTTTTTTCCTTGTGGAGAGCAGAGCAGTTTGAACGGGAGACCTTTGGCTGAAACGCTTTGTGAGGAATGCACAAGCTGCTCCACGACCTGCTTTGTCCAGCCATTAGCAGGGGTTGCTCAGCATCTCGTAAGAGACGAGCTCGTGATTCGCAGGCCAACAGGCACGGCCCTGCTGCAGCCCAGCAGCCCCAAACAAACCCCTCAGTACAGCCTCTGCTGAGGGACCCGGGACCAAGAAGCAACCACGCTGCTCCTCCAGCCCCTGCCCTCTTGGCCACAGCTGCCTAAGAGTAACCCACACACCAGGGTCCCCACTGCATGGGTGCTGGGGCCCCACCAGCACCTTTCCCTGCAGTCAGGGCTTTCTGCCCAGCGCTGCACACGTGGGGACAAAAGAGGGGGACCTCAGGCTTGCACCTGCCCGCTGGATCCATCGCACAGCAGCATCAGGACCCCCCAGCACCACGCTCTCTCACTGCCTCGTGCCCAGGGATGAGCCTGCATCCTGCACACAGCCACGACTTGATGGTGCCTGCAAGCCCAGAGGGACTTGGATCTTTTTTTTTTTAGGAGGGGGGGGGAGAGAAAATAGAGGGAAGTAAATGAAGCTGGGTCTGCCCCTGGCCAGCCCTCCCTTCTCCTCCTCCTGCTGCAACCAAGCAGTGTTTATTCTGCAACACACTGGGGGAGAAAGCCAGGAAATCCTAAGTGACAGCTCACTCTCCAGCCATTGAGCTCTTGTTTTCTACATGTCTGTGAGCAAGTGTGAGCTCTAGCTCCAAATTTCCTGCCTTTTGTTGGCTCGTGGCACTATTTAAATGTATGGAGAATTCCCCCCCACACCCGCCTCTCTTGCATGAATTCATTTATGAGGACTTCATTGTTCTGGGAACAATGGGAATAGGAACAGTTAGTTCGGTCCCATGGAAGAAAAACGCATTTGCTTGATAGTTCTAATCCTTCCGGAGGTCAGGACCAGATTTTTATTCTTCTAAACTGCAGATTTTGCAAAAAAAAACAAAAACAAAACACACCACACAGAGGGACTGGCCAGATAGATAACAGCTCCGAGCACTTAAGGAGTGCTCAGTGCCTATGCAGGTTCCCAGTGGGACCACAGGCATGGCCCTGCTCCTGCAACCCCAAAGTAAGCAGGTCCCCTTCCTCTTTATCCAGGCAGTACCACCTCAAAACTGGCAGTGCCTTGGGTGCACAAGTCCCAGCTCCATCAAGACACGAACTGGTTGCTGATGGCTCACCAGCGCTGGCTGTTCCTGGTAGGAAATGCCCCAAACCTGGGCTCTCACTTGCCATCAGGCGCAGCCCTCGCCCACCACCGTGCCAAAATGAGCTCAGGGAAGAAAGGAAAGGAAAGGAAAGCTCGGGAGCAAGCAGGTTTCCATGGCCCCATCCCGAGCCAGGGCTGTGTCCCACACATCAGCCTGCTGGCAGGGCAGCTGGGGACGGTCACCCGTGACCAGCAGCCCCGCAGGAGAGCCCAGCCATCAATCCAGGCTGCGCGCAGGGGACGGGGCGTCCGCAAAAGCACTTTGCTTGTTCCACAGGCAGGTGGAGAGGAGCAAACAGAGGCAAACAGCGGAGCCCTGCCAGGGCACACTTCAACCGACAAAGGAACAGACCCACACCGCAGGTACAGCCTACCCCGTGCCCCAGGACAGCTCGAGGACCGTCCCTTCCACACCACCAGCTCCTGCAGCTCCATGTGCACCAGCTGGAGGTGGAGCAGCGAGGATGAGCCCAGGTCACGGAGGGAACATGGGAACATCGAGCTGGGAGCCTGCACGGGGTGGAAGGCAAAATGCCCAGGGAGAGCCCCACTGCCTGTAGCCACCTCTCCAGCCCCAGCTCTCACCTGCTGGGGACGTCACCCCCAGCCCCGTGCAGTTTTTAACTGTCATTATAAACTCAACTGCGTGATGCAACAACTCGTTAAGCGTGAGTATAACTCCAGGATCCTGCCCTCCAGTTTCTATTTCAGTCTCCCCCCCCTCCCACCAGGAGCATGGGGTTGTTCCCTGCCATCGTGTCCAAGCTACTTTTAAGCAACCTAAGCACAATGGAGCGCCCTGCACTTCCCCTGGGAAACCACCTTCCGGACAAACACGTCCCTCTCGGAGGAACATTTTCCTGATTTCCAGCCCCTTGGAACGGGCAGGATGATGAAATTTCCGTTCTGTGGGAAACTGAATTTTAAAATGTGTTTTTGTTCCAAATCTAGATAAAAAGCCAAAATTTTCTCTTAGAATGAAAAATTTTGGCTGTGAGTCATCCAAGCACTTCATTTTGATAATGCTGAACCATTTAATTCTACCAAAGCAAAAACATTTTGCTTCAAGAACATTGAACCAACTATTCCATTGGCTTTACACTTTGTGTTCATGCCAAAGCCAAATTGAGACATTTCAACTTTAAACAAAGCAAGAAATCGAAATGAATCATTTCAGCTGTCCTGTCAGAATACACGCAGCCCTCAGAACTGGCACGGAATTGGGGTTTTGACCATTAAAAAAAAAAAGTTGCTGGTTCTGGTTTCCATTTTTACAGCTTACTCATTTCATCCCCTTCCCTGGGGTTTTCAGTTCCATCTCCTTTCTCTGACATTTACACCTTAAAGGGTCGGTTCTGGAGTGCAGCTGCCCGCACTACCTCCAGCCAGCGGGCTGGGTTACCCCGTTTAAATAAGGAATCGAGGCAGCTCCCTCTGCGAGGCTTTGGAGAAGACAATAACGGCTCTGCTTGGTAAGAAGACACACGTGTCTGACTCCCCAGCTCCCCTTGTCTTCATTACCTAATCCTCAGGAGCCCAGCAGCATCCTGCTGCCTCCCCAGGGGTCCTGCTCGCTGCGTGCGCACACAACCCGCACCGACAGCGCTTGAGCTTGCAGTGATGCTCAAACCCAGCTCGTGGCCTGCCCACACCAGCTGCTGGGTGCAGAGGGACTCAGCCCGGGGTCTCATCCTGCTCCCACGGGTGGCAACAGCAGCAAAATGGCCAGGGGCCAGTGGTGGGAAGAGGCTCTGATGACCGCCCCCCCCATCAGTGCTCCGGGCGTCGGATGTGAGCTGCATTCAAGGCAGATATTAAGCGCTGCCTTTGAAACTAAATTAGCTTGCCCAAGATAGACTGGCAAAATAGATAATGCTCTGGTGTAATTAAAAGCACATTTCCCATGGCATACACAGAGTCAGAGGTAATTACAACAGCCTTCTCCTAGGCAGAGGACATCGTCCTCGGTACTTCTGCAGAGGAACTCATTTCAGCACCTGCCCAGGTATTTGGGCTGACTGCTCTGCTCACATCAGCGATGAGCACCGCTGGAATAGGTGCACTGGGGTTTTAGTTTATCACCTAACGGGCAGACCACGAGCAGACAGAACCTGTGCCCTTTGCCTAGCACCGATGAAGCAGTGGAGGATCCAGGGCTGCTCGGCAGCCTGGAGTGGGGAGAGCACATCTTTGGCCATCACCCTTCTGCCAAAATGCAAACCTGCACAGCTGGAGGCAGTGAGCAGCCGCTGCGCCTTCCTCTAAAAACTAAAGCCACTGCCCCAGTAACCCCGTCCTTTGGTGGGCATTTTCCTACAAATACAGAGGCTGCGAATCGCCCTCCTGCTGTGCCTTCCTCACACCACCAGCCCCGACCCCAGGCTGACAGTGGGAAGATTTTGTGGCTCTGAGCATCGCGAGCTGCTTTAACTCCTGGATCTGCGGATGCTGGAGGTACAAGCAGCTTCCAAGGAGAGCAGACAAGGCACCCGCTGACCACAACCACCCGCTCGCCTCCTCCATCGCTGGCACCACCCAAAGGGAACCCCCAACCACCGGCATGGTCTGCGGCACACCAACAGCCCCCGCAGCACTCACATTGATGAGGGCCATGATCCAGAAGGCGTAGGAAACGCGGGTGACCACCATGCCTTTCATGGGCAGGTCGTAGTGGGACAGGTTGCCCGGGTGGTGCGGGACCAGCGACTTGCGGATGTGAGGGAGGTTGCTGGAGGCGTTGGCCGTGGCGTTCGAGAGGATGCAGTTGGTGTCCGAGAGGAAGGGGTCAGCGATCAGCGGGCTCAGCAGCGCTCCGAAGCCCACGAAGAAATGAAGGGCCTGCAAGAGGTGAGGCACGCAAGTGGAGCTGGTGGCTACGGCCCTCTGTGCAGAGCCTGGCTCTGAGCTCCTCTCTCCTCTTCCTCAGGGGAGGAAGCACAGCCCTGGGGGGGGGACGCAGGCTCCACGCTCACCTGCAGGAAGATGGCCGAGTCCTTCTGGTAGATCTTCACCAGCTGCATGTTGGAGATGGTGTCGATGCAGCCCATGGCCAGGCCCGCCACGGCCATGACCACAGCCAGGACCACCACATTGTGGCACAGGGGGATGATGGCGAAGACCAGGGAGATGGCGAGGGACGAGGCAAAGAGCGCAAACAGCGACTGAGCCAACCTGAGGGAGGGAACGGGGACAGGAGAGAATTAGTGCCTTGAGCAGCATCCACAACACGGCACCGCCTTGGGTTTTCAGCCCCAATCAGTTGGTGGCAATGACATTCTCAGGCGATGTCCCCACAGGCTGGCAGGGGGATACCCTGCTCCTCCGTGCCCCCACATCCAGCCGTAACCAGCCCAGGGCACAGCATCTCCTGCCTGGAGCGTGATGCCCCCCAGAGGCAGATCTTCTGGGCAGCTTTCAAGAAGAGCAACCATCCCTTCAAACCTTTTCTGCACATTTCAAGGCAGACGACCCAAGAACCTTCCCTTGTTAACGGCATGGATCCACCGTTCGCCTGCTGCACCCTGCGCTCTGCTCTGGCAGCATCACCCGTCCCCCAGCACAGCAGGGCAGAGCTCAGGACCACAGCCGAGCTCAGGACCGTGGCCATTCCCTCTGCAGGTGGCTGCTTTCTGTCCCGCTCGTGCCACGGGAGAAGCCCCAGGGACGGGCACGGTGCAGGAAGCTGGTGCATTGCACCGCGAGCCCAGTGCCAGCCAGAGAACGGCGCCCAGGCTGGCACCGTGCTGCTCCGGAGCTGCCAAGTCCAAAGGCAGGAAGGAAGGAAGGAAACGGGGACCAGACAGCGAAGCACTGGAACGACTGAGGCTAGCAGAAAGATGGGACTCCAGAGTCACAGCAGCGAGTAAATAGCTCGTCCCTCCCAGCCCGGGCTCCCATGCCCTGCCCCAAGCCCGGTGCAGTGGCAGCTGGGGTCTGCAGCAGGTGAAACGCCCCCAGCTCGCTCCCCCAAGCCATCTGCTTGCTGCAGCCACTTCACGCTCTGCCCAAAGAGGCAGGAGAAGGCATGGGGGAGGCACAAGGCAGAGCTGCCACGAGAGCCAGCTGGGCACCACGGTGCCCGTCCTTCTGCCCTGGCTGCTCGTCCAGGACGGCTCAGCCTCAGACACATCACACCCGGGCTTCTGCGTGGCCCTCATTCACCTGCAGACTCTCAGTAATCTGCCTTCCTACGTCCTGCACTTCAGCAGTGTCAGGAGGAAAACAGCCCAAGAGCAGTTGTCCCTTATCCTTAGGCCTGGTGGCACAAGCTGGGTGGTGCCGGAGGCTCGGTGAGCCCACCTCACCCAGCCCAACCTCACGCACCCATCAGCGAGACCACGCTGGGCGAGCCAACGTTTTGTAAAGCTGTGACGCCCCATCTTCCTCGGGCAGCAACACGGGGATCCAGCACGGGATTTCTGGGGGAGGGAGGGAGCAAAGCGAGGTGTGCACAGCCAAGGCAGGAAAAAACAGCGAGCACGTGAGCGAGAAGCAGCTTCGAGCCTGGGGAGAGGAGGCAGCGCTCCGCGGGGTACAGCAGGAGGGCGAGCAGCAGAGGTACCAGCAGCTGGCGAATCCGAGGCTGGGAGTGATGGAGGAAGGCGCACCGAGACCTCCCCAAACGCCTCCTCTCTTCTGCAGCCCCAGCACTGCGTTTGCCTGGCTGGGGAGCACGTTCATTACTGGAGTTAAACATTAATTGCAAATAATCCATTCTTAAAAAGCACTGCGCAGACAACCTCGCCAGTCCCCAAAGAGCAGAAATTCCTGCCTGCAGCCGTACGACGTTAATCACAGCATCGTGCCTGCCCCCAGACAGCAGCAGCTCACAGCCCAGGGCAGCACACAGCCCCCCCCACTCCTTCTCTGGCTCTGGCATCAGTGGTGAGACCAAGGAATTGCCCTCTTCTCACGCCACATCGCCCAGGGGTACTCGAGGGACACTGCCCAGGCACCATGCAGCCAGCTGGGGATGCTTTTAGAGACAAACCTCTTCGGGAGCAGCTTTTCAGAGTGGGTCTGAACCCCGTGCCTTGCTGATGTGAAGCCAACGTGCCCTTCCAGAGGGCTTCATGAGCCACCCTGACGTTAACGCAGTGCCGTGGCTGCCCTGCCCATCACGAACCAGTCCCTGCGTCCTCGGGTGCCATGGGCAAAAGCTCGTTTAATTTTGATTTTCAGTCCAAATACAGGCTGCGAAAGTGGGGCTTCATGTTCCTTCTGACCTCTTGGGTTCCTGGAGCACCCAGCGCACATCTCGGCTCCATCACAACCCTTGGGGGAAGATCTGCAGCCTGGCACCAGCAGGTTCGGGCTGACCTGCTCCAGGGGATGTAGCACCGCGCTCCACCATGGCCAGCAAAGCTCGCCCTCTCCCCTCCTTGCAGCATACACGAGCCCCAGCTCACAGCTCCTGTCGCAGTGGGCGCTCTCCAACTTGCAGGATGTTTTTCCCTACCCCAGGAAGCGTTTTCTAAGTCCCTCACATCAAGAAGAAAAACGATAATCAGGTTAATTCCATTTGGCAAAACCGATCATTAAAACCCCAAAGCCCTGAGAGGACAAGGTGAGGACACGGAGGAAGAAGAGGGCATGGATTATCCCCCTCCTGCCTTCAGGTACCCCGGTCTCCATCGGGAAGCACTGGCTGGGTTGGAGGAGCCTCCCCCGAGGAGCCCGTGCTCGCCACCATGCTCCGTGCTCTCCCAGCAACAAAAGGCTTTGCTCTCCTTCCCCGTGAGAACCATCCTGCACGCACCAGCCACGTGTCTGAGCAGAAACCTTCAGAGGACGGGCGTCTGAAGGGCAGGGAGGGGACGGGGCCACTGCTCCCAGAGGACGCTCTGCGGTGTGAGCGGGCACCTGGGGTTCAGGGGAAAAGAAAGCAGGGTCAGAGGGTCCCATCTCATAACCCTGCTGGTCCTGGTGGGGATCACGACTTCAGGCAGAGCCTGTACAAGGTCCCAACGCAGCAACAGGCACACCAGCCCCCTCCTCTCCTCTGCTCGTGCCAGTGGGGTCAGCTCAGGCTGACCTGACACTGGGAGCAAGAGCAAAAAACGCTCAGTTTTCACAAAGGCAGTTTCAGCATGACAAAAAGCCAGCTGGGGTACAGGTGCTCGGTTACCTGCCGCTTCTGTCCCAAGCACACGTGGCACAGCAGCACAGAGCGAGCACAGCTTTAGCTTTACAATGCAAGCATGAAACCCAGTAAAAACGGCTTGAAAAGGAAAAGGTGAAGGCCAGGAGAGAAAAGCCTTCGGTGTTCTTCACCCGTGGGTGCACAGAGCTCCTCACGAAGGGCATCAGCTGCTCCCAAGGCTGTGTTGGTCACGGCACCTCTACCAGGACCCCCAAACCTTATTCCCACCTATGCGAGAGAACAATTTCACTGTACCTCACAAAAAAAAAAGTTGAGTTCTTCTGAGCCAGAGCTGCAGTTACAGCCCAGCGATCCCCAGGTACAACCTAGCAGAGAGCAGAGCCCACGCTGTGAGCCTGAGCGAGGCAGGAGGCTGCTCCATGCTCCCCGGCCAGCCAAGGGGCCGCAGGGCACAGCCAAAGCCCCACTGCAAGCACTGGAAGCAACAGCTACATCTGTACACTGCTTATGATGACAAACTCTCTTCTTTGAAATCTAGCAGGAGAGGGAGTTTTGGAGCTGGTCCTGGCAATCCCAGCTCGCAGCGAGTTGCGGAGGGAACGGTGCCATCGTTACGCTCTGTCCTCGCAGCGCTCCAGGACTCCAGCAGGGCCAGGAGAGCAGAGACCACGACCCTGTGCTCAGCAGCTTCTCTGTGGAGAGGAACCAGAGCCTCATTCAGGTGCCACCTGCCCCCTTCTGCCACTAAACCCAGCCGCAACGCTGCTTTCTTGCACGCGTTCGTCGTTCAGAGCAGAGGGCTCAGACCAACAGGATTTTAACCAAAAGCAAGCTTCTGTCCCTCAACATGAGAAATTAATTGTGAGCCAGACCATGGCTCAGCCGCACTGCTGCCAGGTGAGGCTCTGGGACCCTCTCCCAGCCAGCAAAGCCCACCCCAGTGCTCCTGCCTGCCCTGGGATCTCTCAGTCCTCCAGCCCGTGGAGCAGGAGCGTGCGGCAGGGCAGCACGGGAAGGAGAGCGGAGCTCAGAGCCCGCACATGTTTGCTTGTCCAAACCCACGCATCAAACCACTGCACTGCTCGGAGTACCCCTGGTACATTCACAAGCCACAAGCACCCGAAATGCCCTCCTGCCAGGGCTCGTGGGCACGGCAAAGCCCCGTGCTCAAGGAGCCCCGAGCGCGTCCTGGTGCGCAGCCCCAGCGAGCAGCGCGCGTGCTGTCCTCCCCAACTTGCTGCTGCAGAGTTAAAAGTTCAGGAGCCTCCAACCACGAAACCTCAAGCTGGTTTTTACGAGGTGCTGGCCAGGGGCAGGAGGTTTTGGGTAGGAAGCTGATGACAGGAAACAATTCCGCCTTTTCCTCCGCCGCTGCTTCAAACACTCTCGAAGCAGAGCGGGGCTGACAGAGCGCTGCCTGCCCACCCGGCAGCCTCAGGTCTGTGTCAGACCCAGGGTGAGGTCCCCACATACCGTCCCCGTCCCCCCACATCGTGCTCCTCTCCTAGCACAGCCCGGGCTGCTCCACAAAGCCTCTGGGCTCTGCCTGGGCACAGCGGCTGGGACAGCTCCCGCACCACAATGGTGACTTCACAGGTGCTCTGATGGCACCGAACTCAGCCAACACTCCCCACTTGTCATGAGAAAAGAGTTTAACAAGACATTTTTAAACAGGCTTTTGATGGAAGCGAAGGGCTCATGCGAGATTCTTTTCTATACATGTTAAATTTATCCAGGTGACGTGTGTCTGGAGACACACGCGGAGGTGAAACGTTACCCCACCACCTGGAGAATGAGCGGCAAGGTAAATAACCAGCTAAGCCTCCGGAGAGCGGAGCTGTCATCAAGCCTCTGATGTTGTGCCCGTTTGGCACCCTTCAGGGTTGAGCCTTGCACATTACTTATGTTAAACACATCCTGGGCAGAAGCTTGGCGTGAGTCCCTGCTCGGCTGCACCTCGCTGCTGCCCTCGTCCCCTGGCATCGTGCTGTGCCCCCGCAGCCAGGGGGCTGGCAGTGCCTCAGCTCCTGACCTGGGGTTATTAAAACAGGCCCTCGATGTTATGTTTGTGATCAGCGATTCGGGTAAGGGAAACATCCTCCAGGAAGTTCTCACTGTAACTTCGTGCCGCGGCTGCCCCTGTCCCGAGCTCGGGGGCACGGGCAGCGGGTGGCAGGGAACGGGTGGGCAAGCAGGACCCCGAGCAGCCCCCAGCCCACACCCCCGGCCCTCCCTTGGTCCCCTCCCTCCCTCCCATGCCCCCAGCTGCCCCTCGGCACCCAGCACCCGGCACCCAGCCCCATTTTCCAGGGGGGCCACCAGGCTCCGCGCCCCGGCTGAGCCGTGCGAGCCCTGGGGAAGGGCGCGGGGGGCCCGGCGCTGGCCGCCCCCAGCCCGGAGCTGCTGCGAAGGGGAGGGTGAGGGGGGGCTCCCGGCTCCTTACGTCCTCTTGAAGACCCCTCCGAGGCAGCTGCCGAGCAGGAGGCAGAACTGCTGCGAGAAGAAGACCCAGGTGATCTGCGAGAGCGAGCTCTGCGTCTGGCAGCGCAGGTCCAGCAGCGTGGGCCCCAGGAAGGCGATGCAGAGGCCGAAGCTGAAGAAAACGCTCCAGTAGGTGAGGGTGGGCTGCAGGTTCCTGCGGAACCTCGCCGACACCCGCTCGTCCCACCACATCCTGGGGGGGGGGCGGCGGCGCGGGGCGGCCCGCGGCGATGCGGCTCCAGCGCCGCCCGGCCCCGCTCCTCCTTCGCGGCTCTGCCTCCGGAGCCCGCCGAGCCCCGTCGGGCGCCGCCTCCTCCCTCTCCTCCTCCTCCTCCTCCTCCTCCTTCTTCCTCCTCCTCGTCCTCCTCCTCCTCCTCCCGGGGCCGGGCGGAGCCTCCCGCGGGCGAGCAGCGCGCAGCGGGGTCCCCCCGGAGCCCCCCGGTGGCCGCGTCTCAGAGCATCCCTCGGCGCTCAGCCCAGGTCCCGGCCCCCGGAGCTGCCACCCGCTGTCCCCCCTGCCCCTGCCACCCTCTGTCCCTCGGCCACCCTCTTGTCACCGCGGCCAGCGCGATCCGAGTCGCCTCTGCCCCTTCTCCAAGCGCGCTGGCTTTTGGGGAGCGCGTGCGTTTGGAAGCCGGAGCGGCTGATGCTTACGCAAAAGGTCTCCTCTAGAGGCTGGGTTTATAAATATTTCACCTACTTTTAGGGGAAGACTGGCCATTTTTAGAATGCTCTTTCCAGGCAAACCGGAATCGCTGGAGCCGAGCCAGGGCAGAGGGCTGGCTGCAGCCCTGAGCCCCTTCGGTGCCACCCTGAGCTGGGGACCCCCCTGGCTGCTCCCCCATCCCCTGACCTCAGGAATGCTGCTCCGGGGCCCTGGGTGCTGCCTTCCACCTGGACATAGCTTAATGTTTAGCTAATCCAAATTGCATCCGAGTCCTAATTCTTCCCCATCTGTGGCATCCGCAGGAGCCTTCCTGGTGAAAGGAGGGCAGGATCCGGCCCTCTGCCACCAGCACAGCAAACAAATGAACAAACCGTGGGTGGGCAGTGGCAGGGGGCAGGTGGGAGGTGAAGCCCCGATTGCCCTGAAGGGAGACGTGTGGCTCCAGCACCTGAAACCAGGGAGCAATCAAGCTCAGCTGCCTGGAGGCACGGGGCAGTGTTGTTATCCTGCTTCACTCACAGGGAAACGGGGCCAGAAAGGAACGAAGGCATTTGTTGAGTGAGTCAATGGCAGGGCCGGAAAGAGGGTTTTGTCATTAGGTGATAACCATCTCCTCAGCAGCACCCACAGCAGGACGGTGCCTGGTGCGCAGGGCCCCAAGCAAAAGCCACTCACTGTGAACCTCTTTGGTTTCTCTTTCTCCATCCATCTGTGGGGATAAAAGCCCCGGGGGAGGCAGGGCAGTGTTGGTAAGGGCTCCAGTACATGGAGCTGGGGTTCCTTGCACGATGCAGCAGATCCTTCTCTTCCTCACACCAGGTACCAAGCCCCCAAAAAGGGCTGCAGCTGCTCCCTGCAGCTCCTCATCGCCCCTTGGCTCTGCTCTGGTCAGGTCCAGGTGTGTCTGGGCAGAGGGGGGCCAAGCTCCAGCCTTCCTTTGAAGCCCGCGGTACTATAAATCATCACCTGTTTTACACATACCCTGCAAGTCCCCTGGGAGAGCTTGGGAACACGCTGGTTTTACAAAACCTGAAGTGACCACGTCTCTCCTGCCGCCAGTGACCTGATCTGGGCCACTCTGAACTTGGTAAAACTTTCTTTTAGCGATGCCAGATGGCAGGCAAGGAGGCCAATCTATTACGGCTGGCCAGACGCACGACATCTTCAGCACGGAGCAGCCTTACAGCAGCAGCAGCAGCCAGGCAGGCAGGAAACATGCGCTGTCCTCCCAGTTTTCACGGCTATCTCACCATCACTTGATAGCATCAGCTTGCTGGGCCTCGCCTTCCCCAGCTATGAAATGGCTGAGCAACGCTCTCCCCGCCTTGGCAAATTCCCTGCACCCCCAGCTTGATGAAAAGGCAACATCTGAGTGCCAGAGGCTACAAATGCCAGCACGGCCCCTGTCCCAGCGACGGCACCTGACCCCGCTTTGCTAAGCAGTGGCGTAAACGCCGGTGCGCTGGCTTCCAGGAATATCAGGCCGTTTCATCAGGGATAACACAAATCATGCAAGGTATGCTTGCAAATAAAAACCGAAGCGTAGGTGGGTTACTCAGCAGAAGAACACACAGATCTTTCTGGCTCCACATACTGAAACCCAGCTCCTCGGTGGTAGCTCATAAAAATGCGAGCCGCAGGACTCTGAGTGTGTGCAACACCAGAATTAGCTTCGTGAGGAGGCTCTTTGGGCTGTTTTCCAAACTGAAGTCAATGTTGTACTTGCAGTGAGTTAAACACCCACATTTCTGTGCTCGCTGCAAACTGCAAAGTGAAATCATGAATGAGCAAATAGCGGAGCCGTGTGCCTACGGACAGCAGCGTCACTGCCAGGCGCTGCTCCACGGATCCCAGCGGCGTTGGAGAAACACCTTCCTTCTGCTTCCTGTGCGCTCACACGCTCTTCCTGGGGCAGCAAGAGGCACGGCACAGATTTTTCCGCCGATGGAGCAACTGCTTCTTTACCACCATCGGTCCTGCTTTGCTTTGCCTGAGCAGCAACCCAGAAGCCCGATTTTGTCCGGATTTGCTGTTGTGGTGCCAGCATCATTTCTCTTGGGACATTCTGGGGAACACCTTGAGTCACTGAATGCTACTGGGGAGAGACGGGATGCTTCTTGCACTGCAGCACAGACTGTCCATGGGATGGGCTGAGTTGTCCTAGGCTGTGGTGTCAGATGCTCAGCAATCCGGCTGGAAGGGCAGCACACCCAGAGGCGCTCACCTCGTGCGTGTCAGGGTCAGGAGTTTCACCACATGCTGGGGGAGCTGGAGAGCCTGGCAGCCTGGCTCCACTTTTAGGTCAAGCGTTATCCTGAGATCTCGGCCCAGCTGTTCCAGATCAGGTACTACGAGTGGCAGCAGGGAGGAAGCGCCCACCTGCCTGTACCAATTCCAGACGCCCACTCCAATTCGGCTGTGATCACCGCGCTTCCTCCTTCTCTGCGCCCAAACTGCTGCAGAGGAGGGCGGGCAGGCTGCGACCTGGTGACACGCAGGCCTCCTGGAACGCACCTGCACCCTAAGGACACGCAGCCAACCTCCCTGCAAGCACCAGTGTCACGTCCCCGTGGCCAGGCATGCCACGAGACCTGGGGAGCTGCCAGCGAGCGCCGCGGAGCATGCGCCTTGATGAGGCACGAGGATGCCCTAAGGGATGAGGAGCCGTGGGCAGGAGCGGTGCCGGGTGTTGGGGCAGCTGGGCGCATCCGGCCCCGCCGTGCCGAGGATGTGGTTGTGGCTGCTCGGCCGCATTCCCCCCGACCTGGCACCACGGGACTTGGGAACGAGCCGAGGGAGGAGCTGGTTTGGCAAACAGCTTGCCACCGGGACCTGCCCACGCTGCAGCCTGAGTGTGAGTCAGGAGGGCTGGGCACTGACCCGGGGTGCAGCTCAGGGGAAAAGGGGGCATTGTCCCTTCCCCAGTCCCCCCGCACATCGTCTGTGGGCTCACACCATGGGCCTGGCCCCCAAAATCCCACAGGTCCCCCCCGTGCTCCGTCCCTGGCTCTCCCATCTCCCTGACCTCGGTGGCTGGAGCTTCCTTACTGCAGATACCCGCAGGGATTTTCGTGCTGGGTAGCCCTGATCTTGGGGATTTTTAGCTGCCAGAGCAGTGGGAAACGGGTGTCCCCTGTCCCTTCCTTGGTTCTGCCCTTGAGTCACTTTGCAGCCATGGGCTGGGCACGGCTGCCCTGTGGTTTATTTTTCTGATTAACTTATTTGTCTAGGCAATATTTGTCTAGGGCTTTAGGATCCACATAAGGGACAACAGAAACATTTCTTATTGCGCACGAGTTCCTATGGTGCCGCATTTCAGCTTCCTGCAAAGGTCACATAGAGGGAAACTCCTTTGGGGTTAACTCAGCACCAGCCCAGGCCGTTCGGCTGCAGCTCCCCTGCCACCCATGCGTGCCCCAGACATCGGGGTCACCCAGCTGAATCCCAGAACTAAAGCAGACCCTTCCCCTAAAAAAAAAAAAAGAGAGAGAGAGAAAGAGAAAAATTATATCCTGTACAAAACTACCCTGTACTCAATAAAGTTTATTTTTCAAGCTTGGCTTTGGAGCATTCACAATACAACCGTAATAGAAGCCTTAGCAAGAAAATGAGCACATCACAAAATAGTCTATGTCACGTCTGAAATACAAAAATCGAGGTCTTTGTAGAAAATGTTCAGACACAAGATTGATAGATGGATACAGTCCTTTATTCTTTTTTTTTTTCTTTTTTCTTTTTTCACCTCTCCATTTATTCCAGAAAAAACTTTCTATATATAAAAAAAAAAAAAATCATTGCTTCTTTTGGAATAAATCTTTAAAATCACTTCTTTTAAAACGCATCTTTTGTTTGTACAACACGAGATAAATATATTATCGGTATTCTGCAGATGAATCACACCAGAGAACATTCACAGTACGTGGATCCTGGCCACTTGGGTCGATTTCTCCTGCGGGAGGACAAGCGCGGTGCAGAGGACGAAGGCAGGCAATGAGGAGAGCAGAAAGTGGGCGTCACAGCTTTCATACCCAGTGCCATTCTCCCACCTGCCTGTGCCTTTCCAGCCCCTGGGAGCTCTGGGCTCCTGCTTTACGCCAGCCCTGTTCCTGACCGAAGATAAGCCATGGGAAAAAAAAAAAAAAACAAAAAAAATGTGAGAAGCTTGGGAAAATGGCCTTGCTATTTTTATTATTTTTTTTTCATCGTGTGTAAGGGAGACAAAAAAATCCCCTTATTTTGTTCTTAGCCTCCACGATACAATGCAGGTTTGTTATTTAAAATCTTGCTGTAGATCTGCAAAGGGCTGGGCCAGGAAAGGCGTGAGCGTGTGTGTGGAGAGTGACATGCAGCCGCGCTGCCGGGAGTTTTATTGCTGCCCTGTAACACGGACCTTGCTTTGCACGTTACTTTATGTTTCTTTAACCAGCTATCAGCTGGAGAGATGCAATAACAGGCTCTTTCCCGAGAGCGCAGCCAAAACTCCATTTTCCACAATAACTGGTAAAAAAAAAATAAAAAAAAAATGCAAGGAAAAAAATGTCTGGAAGACAAAACAACAGCTTCCTTTTGTCAAAACTCCCAATCGGCGACGGGTGCCAGCTACTCTGCAAAGCGGCGGCCGGGAGAACCCACAAAATGACAAAAATTCCAGCGAGCCACAGACATTCCCAGCATTTTCATCAGCGCTACTTTAAACATCCATCTCCGGAGCCGCCTGGCGCTCCCTGCGCAGGGAAGGGCTGCCTGCGGGGAGCTGCGGCAGGAGGGGGCGAGCACTGCAGGTCCCCCCCCCGGGACCCTAGGGGCTCTCCGGCCTCATAAACCCAGCCGGACCCCCTCTGCCCTTGGGGGGACTGAGACCCCTCTCCTGGAGGGGATTTGGCTGCCTGGCAGCGGGCAGCGCATGGCAGGAGCGTGGGCATCACGCAGCGGCCGCCACGTGCGGGCAGGGCAGCGGCGGGCGCTCATAACTCAAAACCTTGCTCGGCGGGGCACCAAATATTTACACACGCTATCGTCCTCCTGAATGGGAACGAAATACCCTCTGAAGGCAGCGGGACAAAAGGGGTTATCTGAAATTTGGGCTGCTAGCAGCGCGCGCGGGGCTAATAAATAACAGCGCCTCCACACAAAGAGCGCCTCTGGGGAGGATTTGTAGGAGGAAAGGCAAAGGCTGTGAAAGGATAAACAGCAGCTAGCAGGCCCTTTGTCTTCGTTATCTGATCCCAGATAAGGCAGCCCTGTCTACGGTCAGTGCTGGGCTTTTCCCAACCTTTCCCTCCAGCCGCTGCCCTGGGTGACCTTGCCGCTCGGCGAGGTGCCTGTCCTATGGGGAGCGCGCTGCTGGGACCCATTTCCCAGGGGCTCAGCTTGCAGGCAAGAAAACTGCCTGAAGACAGGTCAAGCACATCTTGAATGGGGTTCCCGAGAGCAGGAGGAGAGGGTTGCTTCTCCCTAGCTCTGATCTGTGCTCAGGGACCTGGGCGCACCAGCACCCGCAGGCAGGGGCACTGGGGACGCGGTGTCCGTGAGCTGGCCGCCAGCTGAGCGGCCAATTTTGGGGCAGGAGCTGGCAATTCCGCACCACGGATCCCTTCCATGCAGAGGAAACTTCCATGTAAATGCCTTCGTGAAAGAAAAGGTGACAGCGTGAGAGTTGAGACTTCTTCCAGCCAACACCTCCCTCTGCGAGCCTCGCTACCGCCGAGCCCCTTGCAGCAGGAGCGGGGTGTAGGAAACCAGGCAAAGCCCTGCCCTCACATCAGGGCGAAATGCGTCACTGGTGGCTGATGGCTATTCATGCTCTTCCCTATCAAATGGAAACAATTAATGAACTATTCAGCCTGCTGTATGCTGGACATACCGAGAAGGGAACCGAGCAGGGATGGGCAAACCTCAAACAATGCAGACGTCTGGATGCTTGTCTAGGACAAATCCGACTTAACAGCTTTGGTCTGATGGGGGGAGCGCAGGGGGTGTCGCGGCGAGCACTGGCACGGGGAGGAGGCGCCTCCGGAAGCCCCGGGGTCTCCTCCTTTATCCTCACGCTTTGCATTCGCAGAGGATCACAGAAGAAATCCCGCACGCATGGCAGAGTGGAAAGAGAGCTCCGAGAGCTCGGTGGGGAAGCAGCGGCGTGCAGCAGTCAGCGTCCCCAGAGCACTGCCCTCCCTGGTAGGGTGGCAGGTTTGGATGTGGGCACGTCCCGCCAGGCCCAGCACCAGTCACAGCACCCACCAGAGAGTCCCAGACGTGTCCAAGGGCTGCAGGACCCGCGGGTGGGAGGAACGGTCATCCAGGAGTGCCACAAAGGGGACGTGGATATTAAACAGAGGAGGCTTCCTGCAGTGCTCGCACACCTGAAGACATTTCAGGCTGGTGGCAGGCTGCAGGGAGAGGTGCAGCAGGGCTCCCTCGCTCGGGCTGGGTTTGGCAGGCTCCTGCTGTGCTCCGTTTGGCACCAGGAGCAGCCCTCGGCCAGCCGAGCGCGCTCACATCTCCACACGCACCTCGGTCCCGCGGTGGCCGCCCGAGCCAGGGCTGCTGCGAGGTGGTGCTGGCTACGCACGGCGAGGCCAGGCAAGAAGGTTGGAGGGATGATTTGCTTCTCCCCGGGTCTATTTCTGGTCCCCACAGCTGAGCTGTGGGAGGTTTGGCACCTCTCCCCCTTCCTCCGGGTAGAAAAGCACTGCGGTGGGTGTGCGCAACACTTGGGTGCGGCGAGGCTGCGCGGCTCGGCTCCGCCGCGGGGCTCAGCGCTGGCACGGGGGCAGACGCGCTCCTGAGACGGCGCTGGGGATGGGGTCCCGTCCCGGTGGCCAAACTGGGGAACGCAGTGGTGGCAAGGACAGGGGGATGCTGGTGGAAGCCCCTCTGCTCCAGCTGCTCCCCCCTTGCCAGGATCCAGGTACCGAAGATGGGCAGAGAGGAAGGGGTTGCGCAGGCAGAGGCAAGGGTGCAGGAGGAGGGGGCTGCCCCGGGCTCGGGCTTCAGCTGCAGTCTCTCTGGTGCCTGGGGGTGCAGAGCAGGTTGTCTGAGCAAAGGTACATCTTCACAAACGCCTGCCTGGGCCGAACACGATGCAGCTTTGCAGACACCACCCTCTGCTCACCAAACCTCCCTGTGCCCAGCTCAGCCCCACGGGCAGTGAGCGGCTCCCCCGGGGCAGGGCACGATCCTGGGCAATGCCAGGGCAGCTGCTCACTGCGGCACCTGCAGGGAGGGTGGCAGCTCGCATCCGACAGGGGCAACGTGAGAACAAGGGGGGGAAAAGGCCCCGAGTCCACCAACAGCGGCTGCTGTGGGCTGTGGGGGCAGGCGGGGAGAGCCTGCGGCCAAGGGCGCTTCATCAGCATCGTCCTGCTGGGGTCGGCAGTGCTGCAGTGGGGCGGGTGGGAGCGTGTTGCTGTCTCCTTTCTCAGTGCTCTGATCTCCATGGTGACAAGGGGAACACGAGGTCCGGGTTTAAAATATGCTCTGCCGCCTGTTCTTCCCTCGGGCTGAGGAAGACAGAGAGACGAGGGTCAGACAGGTCAGACGTGAGCGGTGCTCGGGGGGCACCGAGCCCTGCGGTGCTCCGTGGGTTCTGAGCCTAAGGCCGTGTAGAGGAGGGAGCTGCGCCCCAGGAGCACCCAGGGGTGACTTAGGTACCAACAGGTGATGAGTGAGGATGCCTCAGAGGTAACTTGTAGACTAAAGCAGGGAGCAGGTTTGGTTTTCTCTTACGTGGGTACCCACTGGGAGTAACCCCGGTGCCAGCACTGCCTGTGGTGCCATCCAGGAGTGGAGTCAGTGCCATTTTCCCAGACCTACCTGACTGCTGAAAGGCTGAGCCTCGGTAGCCAGGGTCCTTCTGAAGCTGGATCTCCTTCAGGGAGAAGATGGAGACATCTGGGGGTAGAGAGAGGGGTAAGTCCGGCCGGCTGATGGGATGGGGGGAGCAGGAGGGATGGCAGCGCAGCACCACATCTCCGCAGAGCCTTCCTCATGGGCTCACCCCTGCTCTGAGTCACCCTGCCCCAAAACATTTCTTGTTCTCGCAGCCCCCAGGCTCCCACCCCACCCTGCTGCAGCAGCGCTCGGCTCCTCCGAGCAAGAAAAGGCGAGTGGCAACCGAAAAGCCCTGGCTGCAAACCACCACCCTCAGGCTGCAAACCGCAGTCCCCAGGCTGCCAACCACAGCCCCCAGGCTGCAAACAACCACCTCAGGCTGCAAACCACCAGCTCAGGCCCCACATCCACTTTGCTCCACGTCCCCCGCGGCCGAGGGCAGTGCGCACTTACTGTCGGGCAGGAGGTGCACCCTCTCGCCCAGGCTCTTGAAGTAAGGGTGCCTCAGGGCTGCCTCCGCCGAAATCCGGCTCTTGGCTTCGTACTGCAAAAAGCCCCAGAGAACAGGCGGTTACATTCACACCGCGCGTGCAAAATGGCATTTGGTGGGGTGTGCACCATACGCTGTGCACACACCTGTGCGAGGTGTGCACCTAAGCAGTTCGATGTGCTGCCTGGGCGCCGGTGCATCCAAGCGCTGTGCACACCACTGGGGCACACAGGTGGTCACCGGTGCCACTGGCGTGGGCACAAGGGACACCACACACGGTGTGACCATGGGAGCGCACTGCCCACATCACACCTATCTGGTTTGTGTGCCAGAGGACAGTGGGCGAAGGCTGGCTCAGCACCCTGATGGGAAGTGGTTTGGGACAGCATCCACCAGGCTGCTGCTGTACGGGCAGGGCTCGTTCTGCACTCGCAGCCCCTCTCCTGCCTTTATCCAAAATCAGCACGAGGGCAGCTGGAGCACTTTGCTCCACCAGAACCCCTCGCCAGCCACCTGGGCCGTTCTAACACTTACCAGAAGGAGGTTCGTCAGCAAGTCAATGCCTTCTGATTCCAGCCTGAGGAAAGGAAGAAAAAAAAAGTGGAGCATTACTGCGCCCAGGACACATTGTCAGAGTCCCTGCAGGGGACACGGGGCAGCTGGCACCTCCAGCACGTGGCTGCATTCGGCTGCTGCCAGCAGCACATCGAGGAGCTGACAGCGGCGTCCCCAGCTCCCGTTTACATCCCGTGCAACCCCACCGTGCCTTCCGCGGGGGTGCTGCGGGAGGTACCTTGGGGCGTGATTTATGAGCGGCTGGGCTCGGTACTGCGTGAAGTTGTAAGCCTTAAACTCCTCGTTGGACGTTATTCCCGGCCACGTGTCTTCTGTTGGGGTTCCTGGGAGGGGGAAAGAGGGGAACCTGTCGTGCTCACCGGCTGTGGGGTCAAGAACCACGGCAGCCCCCGGCCGGCAGCGCCGTGCCAGCTCCCCCGGGTGGCCGAGGCTGCGCCCCGGCCCCGCTGGCGCAGTGAGCCGCTGCCCTCAAGTGGGCGTTTGGGAGAGAGCAGCAGACTCACCCAGCAGCCTGAAGATCAAGTGCAGCTCTTCCTTCACCGTGGAGCCGGGGAACATCGGCCGGCCGGTGACCATCTCGTAGTGGATGCAGCCAACACCCCTAAAAAGCGCAGCAGGAGCGGTGGCGTTAGCGAGAGAGAAGCCCCAAGGATGCCCCATAACGAGGGCTGGGGCTGCTGGGGGGGGGGAAAATCAGCTCTGACAGGCACAGCGAGGAGCCCCAGGGGATGCAGAACACTCAAGGAGAGCCCACCACCCTTTGGGACACCCAACGCCGTGGGCACGTGCGGTGCCGCACCACCAGCGGGATGGGAACGCCTGGCTGGGGGCTCGGAGCCCCTCGGGACCCTCGGCTGGCAGCCGTGGCTCACCACATGTCGATGGGCGTGGAGTACTCCGTGGAGCCCAGCAGGACGTCGGGGGGCCGGTACCACAGCGTGACCACCTCGTTGGAGTAGGTTTTGGTGGGCACCGATTTGGCTCTGGCCAGCCCTGAGGACGAGAGGGGTGGGCATTGAGGGAGCGGCGCCTTCCTGCGGGGCCACGTTTTCCCCAGAGACGCCTCGAACTCTGCCAGGTAGAAAGCAGCAGCCAGGCAGAGCCAGCTTCAGGAGGGCACGCAGCATCTTGTGGGGGCCCTGAGCTGCTCATGAGGGTCCCCCCCATCCCTTCCCACTCCAAGCTGCTGCCGGAGACCACCCAGGCTCTGCCTCTCCCCTGCCCACCGACCGAAGTCAGCCAGCTTGAGCTCTCCCCTCTCGTTGATGAGCAGGTTCTGGGGCTTGAGGTCTCGGTGCAGGATCTTCCTCCCGTGGCAATAGGCCAGACCCCGCAGCAGCTGGAACATGAAGATCTGCGGGGGCAGAAGGGGTTGGCGCTCAGCCCTGGGGGCACAGGCACCGAGAGGCCAAGTGACTCCCAGCCTTATGGCCGGGGAAGACCCCTGGAAGCCGGAGACACCTTGAGGAGACATCCAGGCCAGGCTCACCTTCACATTGTGCACATTCATCAGGTTCCCGCAGTTATCGAGGTACTGTTTGAGGTCGTTGTCCTGCAACGAGAAGCACCCATAGGCCTCTCCATCCCCTGCGCCCCGCTACCCGCCCGCAGGGGCGCAGCGCCCACGGGGACCCACCAGGTACTCGAAGACCAGGGTGAGGGAGCGCTCCGTGTGGATGATGTCGTGCAGGGTGACGATGTTGGCGTGCTTGAGGTTCTTCAGCAGCGACACTGGGGGAAGAAGAAGTGGGTTTGGGGCAGCAGGACCAGGGCACAATGCCGGTGGGATGTCCCCGAGTCTGCCCGCACGGAGCCAGCCCGGGACCCAGCGCTGTTCACCAGGGCTGTGATGAGGGAGAGCCCCCCACACCCTCACCTTCCCGGATGGCCGTGCAAGGTGCCCCTTCCTCGTGCTCCAGGCGGATCTCCTTCAGCGCAACGAGGTTTTCCGTCAGCTTGCTGCGCCCCTTGAAGACGGTGGCGTAAGTGCCCTGGGGGAGAGGGAGGAAATGGAGGGCACACGGGCCATTTATTGGGGTGGCACGACGGTGATATAGCCTGTACCATTTGCAGGAAGGGTAATTTGAAGCTAAAGTGCTCAAGTCCACAGCAAGACTTGGTCTAAACAGTGCTAGGTATTAAAGATATTTGGCTCCATTCTGCCCTTCTGCAATCCTTTTCACCTAACTTAAAACCTTGGGGAGGGTTCAGCATCTCCTTACCTCTCCCAGTTTGTCCAGTTTAACATAGGTCTCCAGCTTCCCGAAGCCGATATCCGACTGTAAGTGAGAAAGGAAAACATCCCTGGGAGGGATCTCATCCAGGGAAGGATGAGTCTCCAAGGCCGTGGGGTCATGATTAATTTGGGGGCAGATTGATCAAGGCAGGCGCCTGCACGATGTGGATTTGTGTCCTGCAGAAGCGGTGCAGGCGAGCATGAGATCCATCAGAACACCTCCACAGACGATCGTAAGGAGCTGACGATGCCCCTTCTGTTGGAGAAGCCCGCTGGGATCCTGCCGCCAGCACCCAGACCTTTTCTTGAGTGCTTCCCTACGTGCTGCCCTGTACTGCAACTCCCCTCACTTCTCTGCTCCTCAAATCGAGCGTGAAAGGGACATTTCCCCGTTTGGAACAGTGACTCGTTAATGTATTGCTGGGACCTGCTCTCCTGTACCCAGTGAAAGAAAGGGCAACCACCGCAAGGCAAGGGCTTCAGGTTTCACTCCCAGCAGACCCCTTACCCTGCACTTCTCTGCGGGCACACAGACCCCTCGGTTAGTCCAGGTTATTCACGTGCCAAGGCAGGGGATGGCTCCCAGCACTACAGGCTCAAAGCCCAGGGCAGATCCTAGCTCCTGAAGCTTAAATAACAACCCCTGCCATGCTCTCCTCCCTCCCCACGACAGGCACACCAGATCGGAAGACACCTGCCAACACCTCACCACTGGACACGTGCTTGCATGTTTGCCAACAGGACACCAGGTTTTTGTGCCTACGTATGCTGCTGCTCTGCAGTAAAGAAACTGAAATGCCAGCATTAATGCAAAGGCTAATTCATTATTTATCAGCATTTGCATTTCAACCAGCAGAGGCTCCAGCGTTCGTGGCACTGCAGGAGGTTTCCACCTCCTCCCCCTGGAAGGGCGCCAGGTGTGCGCAGAGCTGGGTGAAGGAACGCACGGGAGGCCTGGGGATCTGCACAGCAGCGCGTGGATTTGCACGTGTAGGGGTGGCAGGAGGAAAGGATGAGTGCGTGCATATGCACAGGGGCAAATGTGCATGGGTTACGTGGGAACGTATTGCTGGGAGCATGCAGAGAGGGATTTGCAGTGTGTGTGTGTCGGTACAAGGGAGCTCACACAGGGGGACATGCACGGGGTGGGTGGTAATTGGCACGTGCATGTGCTGGGTGCTGCATGCACAAAGCAAGGTGCTGTGCCAGCACTGCTTGCTCTGCACACAGAGACTTACGAGGGAAGCCCGCCGGGACATCCTGCTGAGGGGTTTGGGGAACTCCGGGCTCTCCATCTGCAGCTTCTGCAAGAACTCGGGGGGCAGGCGGATGTCCATGGGCAGGGAGAGGCGCTTGCTGACATCCTGCAGAGAGGGGCAAGAGAGTAGGTGATGAAAGCACCTGACGAAAGAGACTTCCAAGGGGCAGCACCCTCTATCCAGAGCTGATATCGATGGCAAAGAAATAGGGACACCCGTGGGACCCTTGGTCAGGGGAAGAGGGAAGGTGTGTGCATGGGGATGCGCTTGGGGCTTTGTCCGGTACCATGGACATGCTGAGCAAGGGCATCAGGGCTCTGAGCCCACCAGATCCCCACGAATCCAGCACTGGCCCTTCCAGCCAGCAGGCAGGTGACAGCCAGAACTGCCCCCACCCCTCCTGCCCCCCAGCAACACTTGCCTCCATGGAGAAGCGGCGCTGGTTGTTGTTGCGGTAGCGCACGGCCATTGGGGACTGGCCTTCCACCTCGGAGGGGGAGATGGGGGCCGTGTCGGCTCGGAAGTCCCTGCCCAGGTGCTCCAGCTGCAGGTGCCCTTGAGCCAGGTCTGAGGACAAAGAGAAAGGACAGAGAGCTGCTGGAGAGGCAGAAGTACCACCACAGCCCTCGTCTTGAAGAAAAGGGAGCAGGGCAGGGAGGTCCAGAGATGCTCCAGGGCCACAGGAAAATCCTTTTCTGCCTCCACACCCAGAGGCAATACCTGCTGCTCGCTACAGGCTCCTGGTGCATGGCCAGCATTCATCTCAGCTTCCCAGCCTTATCCTCACTAACATCACCTTAGACAAAACACGACGTGTGCTATAGGGACACCTAGGTGCCTGACCACGGCTCTGTATCTGGCCGTTGTTTATTGCAAAACAAAACACTTAGAGAGATGTGCCATCACCCTGAGGAACACAAAAGCCCTCTTGAAAACCAAACCAACCCAGAAAAATCACTCTCCTCTAGGGACTCCGGGTGTGAAGCCTCACCAAGCCCAAGAAACCCTGAAAGGAGCAAGAAATCGGAACAAAATAAAGCCACTGAGCTCCCTCTGGCCTCCGGTTTGAGGCTTGCACTCAAAGCTCCTCACTCAGTAATTAATGGCCGGCTGGTAGGAAGCGGGTTCCCTGATCCATGGGGAGGCAACACCAACTGGGTGTACTGGGACGGAGGAGGCAGAACTGGGAGCTCTGGGATGGAAAAGGCAGCTCTAACTGGGCATACTGGGACGGAGAAGGCAGCTCTCTGTAGGCTGCGCAGAGCATCCCTCCCGCTATGCCTAGCGCAGATTTCGGCAGCCGATCGCGGCGTGCTCGGGCAGCCAGCGATGATCTCACTGCTGAGGATGGGAGAGGGAGGGCCAGGACCTGGCCGCACGCTGCTCATCTGACGGATGAGAGGTGGCAGGCAAGTGACCTGGGAAAAGATGTGGTTTCCTGCCACGGGCACGGGGAAGAAGGGGACCTGCGAGCTGAGGGATGCGGGGTGCCCTCTACAAACAGCCCGCACCCACGGGAGGGGTGCAGCCCATGCCAGGGGGCCCCCCAGGACCCAAAACTGTGCCAGGAGATTTTGTAGCGGTGGGCAAGGAGGCATAGAGACACTGCTGTGGGGCTCCAGTCCCTGTCCCTTTCTGGCCATCTGCCTGCGCAGGAGCAGCTAGGAAACCTACCCTGAATTAAGCACGGGTACAGAATTAGCGTGGATCAATTAAACTGGATCAAAGCTTTTTAACTTGTTCGCCTCCTAAGCAAATTAGCTGAAAGAAAACCAAAGGCCACTTAACGTCTGACCAAACTGGAGTTCAACTAATCCCACTTTAAAAGATAGTTTGGGAGAATTTGTGCCGGTTCCTCAAGCCCAAAGTCCTGCTAAAAGATGCAGCCTGTCCCCAAAAGGTGCAAGGTCTGTCCGAACCAGCCGCCCACCAGCTCTTCATCCACGAAAGCATCCGAGAAAAAGCCCAAAGGCAGAATAACAAACCGGCCTCCCAGTGCATGTGCAGGGCAACAGGACACACAAAAAAACAAACCTGAAAACTACCAGAAGATAAAAACAACACCTAAAACTACACCCAGGACTCACGGAGATGAGGGGAATGGTGCCCTGGGGCCAGAGGCAGGCTGGATGTGCCAGCCCAGCCCTAAAAGTTTCCCTGACCCCGGGTCCCACAGGTTGCCCCGGGTGCCCAGGACCTCTCCGGGTGCTCACAGGAGGGGATGTGGGGCCGTGGGCCGGCAAACCGAGGGCCTGTCTGGTTCTGCTCGGCGTTTCACGTGGCTTGCAGTGAGCCCTGGCACCCTGCGAATAATGAGGCTGCATGGGATATCAAAGCAAATTAAAGCGAGACCGCAGACACGGCGGCTGCCTTTGACGAGCCTCCTGCCTTTTTTTTTTTTTTTTAATAAATATATTTAAACACTGTCTCTGCCAAAACAAGCTTTGATCTCCCAAGGAAAGGGGCCAGAACCCTTCACTCCTTCCCTGACTTAGAACTTTTAATTACTTTGCTAAGTGTGAACCCTCCTCTCAAAGCTCTGTTGCGCTCTTGAGGCAGAGCTGGGATTATTCATCCTCCTTCCTCCCCCTCATCCTCACTTCTTTGTGGCCGTGCGCTCCAGAGGCCAAATTTTGGCTCTGATTTATGCCATTTGAGCTGGGAATCATGCTGGCTCTGCAGCCCTTTTTTGGCCTCAGAGCATGGAGCGGGCCGTGGCTGTTCTGGGGCAAAACAGCTCTGGGCACAGGCACGAGCTGCTGCTGAGCACCAAAAGCCCTTATCAAAGCCAGCCCCAACGCCTCTGCAGATCCGGAGCACAGAGAGTGCCTGGGGAAGGGCAGGAGGGAAGCCAAATCCCCCTGCCTTCAGCCTCCAGGGGAGCTGGAGCAGCCACGGCGAGGTTGATGCAGAGATGGTGCTGGCTGTTGTCGAGGTTCAGACGCTGCCCAGGGCCCAGCCTGGGCTCTCCATAACCCAAAACCTTTCCTCCACCCAAGCAGAGGCCGTGGTGGTGCCCAGGGCAGAGGCACGGTGGGGTGGGGGCACGCAGGAGGTCCCGGTGGGATAGCAGAGCTCGGAGCCCAGCACCCCTTCCCTCTGCGCTCTGCCAAGGTGACATTGCCCACGACGGGATGTGCCCGTGCCCGAAAGCTGTTTGTTTGCTTTTCCATTTGCTGGCTCTGCTTCTCTCAGACCCCCTTTTATCGTCCTCCGTGGCCGGCAGCGAGGTCGTGGGAACTGGAGGCTGGGGAGAATGGGGTTGGGGACCCCACGGCAGACCCTGGTGGTGTCCTCACCTTGTCCTCCCTGACTCTGTGACCCCTGAGTGCTGATAACCTGTGATTTCTGATGCTGGGGGGGAAATAAAACCTGCAAATGACTCCCCAAGGGGCTGATGCCTGCTGTGAGCAGCACCCTTCGTGTGCCCCCCTCCAGCCCAGGCAGCTCCCACGAACTCCAAGCCCCCCAAGCAACCCCCACAGAGGAGCAGCTTGCACATAAACCCCGTTCTCATCCCCTCCAGCACCCCCAAAGTGATCCTGCACCCCTACACAACCAAAGCATCCCCACCAGCCCCCCCTGGCCACGAGGAGGTGGGCACAAAACAGCCAGGAGATGCCTCAGACAGACGTGGTTACCGGGGCTCTCCAAAAACACCCACAGCAGTGGGACTGAGGGTGCCGTGGGGGTGACCCTCGGGGGCTGTTTACACCCCAGGGAAACTCAGGGGTTACAGCAGCAGGATGGGGAAATTGCCTCCCCGACAGCCTCAGCTGGCACGGTGGAGATAACGAGCCCGGGCTCAGCCATCCCCGAGCCGAGGTGCCCCGAGGGAGGCAGCAGCAGCAGCAGCTGTCAGCGCCCGGCGCTTTCTTAGCCCTGCACCGTTTTTATCCTCACGGCTTCTGCGCATCTAATTAAGGGCTCAAGTCTAATTATAGCCCCGGCTGCTTGCAAGGGTGTGAGGGGCAGCGTGCGTGCGAGGAGCAGGGAAGGAGGCTGCGGAGGGGTGATGCTGAGGGTGCCTGGGGTATCCGGAGGGGCACGAGGGGTGCCAGGAGGGGCAGGGATGAGGAAAGGCAGCTCAGCATCAGGTTTCTGCATCTCGCCTTCGAAGCAGGCTCGCTGGCAGAGACGAGCCCTCCCTGCTGGGCCAGCCACGAGTGCCAGGCAATTACAGCACGGCCTCGGCCCCTGCTTGCAGCACAAGTTTCTAGCAATTGTGGCTGCAGGGCGAGGGGGAAAAAAATTAAAAAAAATAAAAAAAAATGTGGACGTGACCCGAGCGGAGCCCAGGGCAGCAACACATGAACGGGCTGGCCCGGACAGAGCTGTTTTTTGCTGGGAGGCAGCAGCCTCTCCCATGCTGTGCCCCCAGGAGCCCAGCCTGCCCCAGCCTGCCCCCAGCACCGCTCAGCACCGCTCGGGGAAGGGCCGAACACCGCCGGGCTCCCAGCCCTCAGCATCTCCTGCACCCCAAAGGAGGAGGCTGTGGGCTTAGGAGGAAGCTCAGTGAGCCCCAGGTGCACCCCAGGAGCCCTGTGGGCAGGCAGCGAGGTCTCAGGATTTGGTGGCAGCGGGTGCTGGCAGCAGTGGGGTCACTTTGGGGTGAGATCCCAACGCTTTCACGCTCTTGCACCTTAACCACAGAAGTGTCATTCCTCTGGGCGCTGTGCAAATACCTGTCCCTCCTCGGGACTCGCCCTGCGCAGGCAGAAATCTCCCCACAGATCGGGTTTAATAACCAGGTGCTGCTAATCCTGCCGCGCGGATGGGGAGAGGAGCGCAGACAAAGGGGCAGCGGCTTTCCACGCGCCGGGGGCCGGGGGCTCCCTACCTTCGTTCCTCTGGTTGTTGAGCTGGTTGAACTGCTCCGTGAACTCCGTCAGCGACTCCTCGATGGTCTCCGTCCGAGGGACCGAGAGCGAGAACCTCCGCTTGAAGTTTTTCATCTTGTTCATTTTACCTCGTGCCCTGAGGGACGGCAGAGCCCTGCGGGGAAGGGGACGGAGCTGGTTGCGGGGTGCTGGGGAAGGGGACAGACCCACAGCCCCCCCCCTCCAGGCATCGGGGCCGGCAGCACCCAGAGCTGCGTGCCCCCCCGCTGGGATCCCCGGGCATCCTCTGTGCCGGAGCCACCAGGGGAATCAGGAACCTCGTGTCACCGGGAGCTGACCGCGGTCAGGAGGTGCACGGGGCTTTTTCTGAGCTCATTGTCAGAGCTGAGCCCAGGGCAGAGCTGTGGACACTGAGTCACGGCTGTCAGCGCGGGGCATGCCTGAAGAGCGTGCTTGGAAACTCCAGGAATGCCTGGAACGGGGAAAAACGTGGCAAAAGCAGAAGGAAAGAAGGAAAAAAGAATAAGCAGAGAGAGGAAAGACACCTTCCCAGGCAGTCTCATCTCCCTGCTCTGTCCTTGCACAAAACCCCCCCTGAGCCAGCAGCAGGGTGCTGGGGGCAGCCAGGACCAGCAGGGGGGTCCCTGCCCAGGGAGGTGCTCCGAGCTCGGTTTGCTCACAAGCTCTTCATTGACTCAGATCCGGTACAGGCGCTGGAATCTCCTTAGCTGGAGATCTGATTAGAGCAATAAACCCCTTAAACAAAGAAAACCCTCAAGGGACACATGGCGAAGCGTGCTGTGCCTGAGCAGCCCCGCGAGCGGGCTGAGGGGGCTCTGGGCATCTCCACCTCGCCCTCCGTGGCACCAGCACGTTCAGGACTTGTTCCTCCTGCCAAGCACAGACCTGGCAAATGGCCATTGCTCCCCAGAGGTGCCGACATCGGTCTCACCCCCAGCCAGCCCTCGCAGACCCCAACCCATCTCCCAGGGCGTTTCCATTTGACCGCACCGCACTCCTTTAACGCTGCTCTCCTCACCCGAGGGGGGATTTTAAGTGGGAAATCAGCCCTTGGGACCCAACGGGCACCCAGAGCTACCCAAAGGGGGGCTCCTTCCCACACCCCACCCCCTGTGAACCCAGCAGCCCCCAGCCCCCTCCGGGCCAGGAGCCCGAAGCCGCGGTCGCATTCCAGACGGATGCGCTCAGCCGCAGCATCCCCAGCCAATGCATCGTGTCGCCAGGGCGACGGGAACACTTGGGCTGACATGCCTGCATCTGAAGGCTTAAAAGATTACCGTCAGCAACATAAACACGGCTGGCGTGGCTGCCACGCTCGGCTGCGAGGCACGGACTCCTGCGGCGGGCGCAATCCCCCGAAAATCCTTGGGATTTTATCCGTGGGATGCACCTGAACGCTGGGGACCCGCTCCCCTCCAGCACCCTGCTCACCTCCCAGCCTCAGGGATGCAAAACCCTAAAGCTGAAGGCCCCCGGTGCTTGCATATGCGGGGGTATTTGGCTGGGGGGGGGGGGGGGGGGAAGAGAGGCCAGAGGCTGCTTTGAGTTGCAAAGTGAGCGAGGAGGATGCCAGACGCATCCACTCCGGGCCTCAGACATTTCAATGTTTTTCTCAGCTCTACAGGAGCAGGCTTGGACAGCAAGATGCTGACGCTAATGAATGCTGCATTAGCAAAGTCTCCACGCTGGTGCTTTTCTCCTGGCCAACAATAAAGCCTCCGAGCAGCCTTGCTCCTCCCGGAGGGAAGGCAAATCTTTGGAGACCGCTTGCTGAGCCCAGGGCTCTGATCCAGCTCCTCACCTTGCAACCTGGGCAAGTTTTACCCTTAAGCACTGCCCTACACCACACACACAGCCACCACGGGCATCTTTGGGTTCTGCAGCCCCTTCCTTCAGCAGGGGCACCCTCCTGGGACTAGGGGCTGCTGCACCCCCCTAGCACGCCTGCCGTGCCCGATGGCAGCGGTCACCCCGCTGTGATGGGGACGACGCGCTGCCCTGGCAGGAGGGGCACAGGATGGTCAGAACAAGCTGCAAGGGGGGACCAGAAGGTCAGGTAAGGTGCTGGGCATGAGCTTCGCCCTCCAGGGAACCCCACGGCCTCCAGGAGGGCCCTAGAGTCCAGGATTGGGGAAGATGCATGGAATAAAACAGGGGAAAGAGCGCAAGGGGTCTTTCCATCTCCTCCCTCTTAGCGCAAATAGCTAGAAGGCGAGCACCTCAGCACTGCCAAATTTGTGCTCCAGATTGCTCTGAATCCTTCCCCTCCCTGCCATCGTTTAGCTACAGGCTGCTAAATATAAACCTCCTTGGAGAGGAAGTGGGGTGGGGGCAAAAATAGCACCGGGAGCGGCAGCTACCTCTGCTGCTCTGCGCGAGCCTGCCCCGCGCTCGTTATCTTTACGGCTCCGTCTAATTGGGGCTGTTCTTTCCAGGCGGCCCTGGACCCGCTTGGCATCTGCCGATGGGGTTCACGGCGAGGCATTTGTCAGGTGGATTTTATGGGTTCGTTCTATTCTTAGCCTTCCACGCCTGCCGGAGAGGAGTTTGCTCTGTCCCACAGGGCTGCTCGGATGCAGGTGCCCCACGGCTGGGATTCAGCCCCCCTCCAGCAGCGGTGGCACCCCACGTCCTGCCTGGGCGCACGCACACCGCACGGGCAGGAGCACCCCATGGGGTGCAAGGGGCTCAGTCCCCCCCTGGGGAAGGGATAACCTGCGGCTGCATTGCTTTAGGAGAAGGTTTTGGGAGAGGGCATCCCCTTCACAGCTAAAGGGAGCCGTGCAGCCTGCTCCCACGGCACGGATTTGCAAGGAATTGTTCCTCGCGGCTGCCTTTTTGCCCTGAGTTTTAGCAGCAGGGCACTAAAGGAAGCAGGGGCACTTAGTGGCTTGCTGCGAAAGTGACACTTGGTAAGCAGGGCGATGAGATCACTCGTTTTACAGCCCCGAGGCTCTCCAGGCTCCCCGGGAATGAGGGAATGAGGACAGCCCCTGGCCAGAGGCACCTTGGGGATGGAGGAAGGCTGCCGACATGCCGAAACACGACGTGGCGCAGCGGGGCACGCAGGGGAGAAGCGATCTAAAATGGCAACGAGGAATTTAGGCACCGACAGGCAGAAATGAAATCACTCAGCCTGGACTTTGGCCAAGAACCGGGGATTAAAGCCAGCCGCGTGAATGATCTGCATTTACTGTAAGACAGTCAGATAGTAAATACTTGGCTAAAACACTTCAAAGAGCCCAAAGCCGAGTCCCGCCAGGGAAGCTAATCACATGCTCGAGATGAGATGTTAACAACTCCTTAAACGCCGCATTCAGAGCCACCTTCCCTGCTCTGGCACCGACTGCTTGCTGTTTTTTGGTGAGCTATTCCCACAGGCACTCGGGCTGCGACTCTCCCCATGAATCTCCTGCATTTGCACAGCAAACCCCCCTGGCTCTCCGCTGGGAAGCCGAGGGGCAGGTATTTTCGGCACAGACAAACCATCTTCAGCATGTGGAGCTCTCCCCTTCCTCCTGCAGCGCATTGCAGGGCTTTCAAGCCACAACCACTTTACTGCTACTCACAAATAAGTCTCTCTCTCCTTTTTTTTTTTTTTTTTTTTTTTTTGTTGCCGTTTTTAACAAACTCCTGCCCTCGTTTCCCAGCTGAAAAGGTGGAAGGCTTGGAGGGAATCGTCTGCTTTTTTCAACCCCCCGAGATTACCAGTTGTGTTTACAAGGCAAAATGAACAGCCCTATTCAGCAGTTCCAGCCCCTGCCCCTAGCTATTGGGTCGCTTCCGCGAGTATCGGGGCGATGGGGAATTCTGCTGGTGGAGCCCTATTTGCTCTGCAAACACGGCTATCGTGCAGCGCTGCGTGTGGCGAGAGGGCCGAGCAAACACCGCGCCGAGGCACCAGCTGAATACGTGCCCCTGCTCACATCCAAGGCCTGGAGACCGAAGTCGGAGCGACCAAGAGCTCAGTGGAGCAGCCCTCGAGCCCTCTCCGTGGAGCAGCAGGAGCCGGCCCCGCTTCGCTCCTGGCACAAGCCCCAGAGCAGAGGGAGGGCAGGGAGAAGCGGTGCAAGAGCGGCTCCTCCGTGGGACACATCCTCCACGGCCTCCTCCTCCTCCTCCTCTGCTCTCATGGCCTTACAGGGCCAAAGCCAGGTCCTTGGAGGTGTGCTGAAGGGAACAGGGAGAGCTTCAAGGCTGGGAGTCAGGCAGAAACCGCAGCTGGCCTCGGGGACAACTCCAGCAGACATCGGGGCGATGCCGAATTTGCTGCAGCAGCTGGGAATCCCAGCGGGGTTAGGGCAGAGGGGCAGGGAAGGAAACCAGCCCCTGACCACCACAGCGAGGTCTCCCCGGCTGCTCAGCTGTCGGCACAAATTCCTCCCCGGGGTAACGAGCTCCCAGCCCCTGGGAGGGATGCCACGGAGCAGAGCACAGCCCAAGCACCAAGAAACGTCAGTTTGGATGGCCAGAGCTGCCCTGAGAACCAGCACAGCCCTGCAGAGAGGGGGGCCGCATCCTGGGAGCCCCTGGGACAGGCAGCCCACCCCACAGCGGCCACCTGGACCCTTTCCCGTGTGGCTCTTTGCAGCGATGACAACCAAAAAGGGGAGAGGTGAGGGGAGAGAGCGAGGCCAGCTCTCCTCCTGCACATTTGCCTCCCGTTGCTGAGCTCTGCTATGCAGGGACCCTGACATTTCCCTGCCACGCAGGAAACAAAGCCCCCGCCAGGAGGTCGTGGTCCTGCAGGGGAGGGAGTGCAATCAATTCCTATAAATCTACGGGAGCCCTGTAGCAAACGGCGAGCCCATCATCCCAAGGCAGAGACCGCGCTGGGCATGATTGGAAAGGAAACCTTGGGTCTCCAGGGAGTCCATCCACCCTCGTGTCACAATTTTTCTCTCTCCTGTACTGGCTCCCATGATTACAACAAACGCAGTGCGCCGGGAAGGTGATTACAGCAGCCAGGAGTTCGCCACCCTCTCTTCTCACGTCTACTGATCAAGGGGAGGCTTGGGAGGAAAAATGACCCCGCAGCAAGTGCTCGAGGCTGGCTCCCACCCCAGCTGTCTCCGCATGCCTCGCCTTCCCCAGCTGTAAGTGGGGAATGACGATGCATCCTGCCTCCCTTCTCATTTCTTTGCCTCCTCCTCGGTCACAGGACACTCACAGGCAGCAGCCTGGTTTGTGAGGCGCACGGAGGGCTTCCACCCTCCTCTCCGCAGCAGCTTCCCTTGGTGCCAGGGGACATTGTTGGAGAGGAAACAACAGCCCAGGTGAAACTCCAGCCACATGGAGCACATACAGCCCTGAGCCCAAAACCACAAAGCCATCCTGGGAAGGTGAACGCTACACACAGCTTCCCGCAGCCCCAGCCTTTCTAGAACCTATAACCGGTGCCTGATGCACGGCTGGGAGCAGAAATCGCCGCCGCTCTGCTCGACGCGGCTCCGCTCCCGGTTGTCTCAGTGCTGACAATGAGCCCAGTAACACGAGCGCACAAAGGAGGGTTGTTCTGCCTCCTGCCGTGCCCGCAGCCCTGCGTGGCGCAGCCGGCATCTCTCCCTTGGCTCTTCCCTCCCCGGCCCGTGATGAGATCAGGGCAGCGCCCAGGAGGGCACTAAAATGACCCTCGTTATTCCGGCAGCCACGAACACTGGGTGCTTATTCCTGGGCAGAGGACAACCTGAGAGAAGTGCCCAGTGTTCGGCTGCATCAACAATAGGCTGATAGCAAGCAGCTCGCCCACTGCAGCAGGACCTCAATGCCTGCCTTGTTGCTGCCTGGGAGCCGCACAGAGCCACCCGAAGGTGTCCGTGCCAGCATCCCTCTGGTACCATCACTGTCTCCAGGGGATGAGCAGCCCGGTGTCCGTCAGCCCATCCCGTGCTCCAGCAGATGAAGTGCTGCTGCTGCTGGGCTCCAGCTGCAGAGCAGATCCTCAGGACTAGCAGTAGATGCACAAATCTCGGCACAACCGCACGACTTTCTCTGTCTCAGAGCCAGCCAGGGCTGCGTTGGGCTCCAGGGGATGCTCCCTCTGATGCTCATCTTGCAGCAGGAGCTGTTTGAGTTACTGAGGTTGAATTTGCTGTCAGCTGGGCACGCAGGGCACACGTCCCACTGGCAGCACTCACCATGATGGCAGCGCTGCCCCACGGTGCCACACCACGGCCAGGAGACCCGGGCTGTAATGAGCTCTCTGGAGGCAAAGAGCCAAGCTGGGGCTGTCAGGGCAGCAGCACTTTACAGCTTAGGTGTGTTCCTGGAGGTGCTGCTGATCTGCCGCAGGACATTTAGCTACTGTCACCCCTTTTCCACGAACCACGTTCTCCTCTCACCCTTTTCCTGCCCAGCAGGCGCGTCCCTGCCAAGCATCACGCCGTGGCGAGCAGCTGCTGGGAGAGCAGCACAAGTAATTACTGGAGAGGAACACTCGCAGCAAAAGCCAGCCTGGTTCTTGCCTTTTATGACACTCAGCTGGTTACTGGCTGACAGTTAGCTAACAGCACCCAGACTGCACCCCAGGCAGGTTTGCTCTTCCTGCTGTGCCACCAGGAACTCGCTGGGACGCCCGCCAGCTCCTCAAGAGCCCCTTGAGATCCGGGGTCCTGTGCTGCCCTCTCCCAGCATCACGTCCCAAAATGCTGGAAGGCTTCCAAATATACAAGCACAGACAAGAAAGCGTCCACCAAGCCCACTGAATGCTCCCAAAGCACCAACCAAACGCTGTCCCCCCCATGGCAGTCAGCTCAGACAGCCAGCGCAGGGGGGTGCCAGCTTCCAGCTGCCAACGAAATTTGCTGTCAGCAGCACAAAGCCCCTTCTTTTCTCTCCAGCAGTGGTTTAACCTGCGGCTCAGGCTGTCAGCACCTTCCCTGCCTTTATCGACAGGTGGGAGGAGGATCCATGCAGGAGGAGATCCCTGGCACAGGAGCACCGAGCCCCTCCGAGCCTCCCCCCAGCACACCTGTGGCTCCGTGCCGCTGGAGGAAGCTGCACCACGCTGCCACCCACACCCAGCACGGGGTACGCAGGGTCTGCCGGCTTCTTAATTGCTGTTTTCTTTCCTTGTCTTTTTGTAATTGGAGCTTTCATTCCCTCCCCAGCCCACACAGAGCTCCCCAGGCTGCGAGCTCGTACGCTGCTCTGCAACTGCCATGCAGGTGAGCTCACGGAAAGCCAGGAGCTGCTTTCCTGCAGTGGTTGCAGGAGCAGCCATCTCCCTAACAGAAAATACTCCAACTTTACCCCTGTGACCCCTAATTTCATCTACCAAGCCCTCTCTTCCTGGCACAGGGCTGCAAGGAAGGCCACCAGCAAAGGCTGAGGGAAGCCAGAGGCAGGGGCTTGGACCTGCTGCCCATGGCCACGACCACCACGGCTGGTGCCACGCTGTCCCTGCTCCAAAAGCCACACTGGGGGATCGCACAGCCCTGCCCAGTCCCCTGCTGAAGGCATTCCTGGGAGGGTATTTAAGGAAACAAATTACATCCTGTACACCCGATGCCGCATTTCTCAAATTCCACGCAACTACCTCGGAGGAAACGGAGGGGGACAGCAAACAGCACACACCAAAAAGGTGGAGAGGAGAAACGAGGGCCAGACTCCCACAGAAAGCTTTACCAGGGGCAGTGTGGCATCAAAGGGTCTTGGCATGACCTCATTTTCCAGAGAAAATAGTTTTACCAAAACTAGAAGCCCAACATTTGTAAGGAGCACCACCACAAGCACTCCGTGCGTTTTCGAGGAGAGTAGATAAAAGCGCATGGAGTCCAGCTTGCCCTGCTCTGCTGCCACAAACCTCACTTCCAGACCCTCCCTCTGCCCCTCATGCTCCCCACCCGCTGCAGATACCTGGGTCTGTGCCACTCAGCCCCCCGGGAGGTAAAACACCACCTCGTGCACCCAGCCCGGCACAGGGAGGAGGAGCTGCGGAGACTCCGCAAACAGCTCCTTGGGGGATTAAGGCGCCTTCCTCCCACCGTGAGCTCAGACCCACGAGCTCCTTGGAGCCAACCCCGCTAATAAAGCAGCCCCACAGCACACGTGGACGGATCTTTCTGCAGCAACAGGAAAAGAAATGAATGAAAGGAGCCGGTGTTCCTGGCCTACTGCTCCCCGACCTGGCACCAGCTGCTGGGGGGGTTCTCCCCAGCCCTGCACCCCGCAGCTGCGGTCCCACTGCTCAGCATTAGGCACATAAAACTCCTTGCAGCAGGGTTTCAAATCTGTTTTATTTAAAGCTCCGGAACAGTCACATGATAGCAAGGTAGCGAGCAAACACTGCAAGTCTGCTTCCCTGCCAAGGATTGCGCTAATCTGGTATTTAATCTTAAACCAGTTGTGCACCCATCCTCGGAGGGCTCTGCGCACGTGTGCCTGTGCGTTTCTTGCTCGGAGACGCAGCCACACAGGTAGGAGCACAAAGAGCCAACGCTCGAGGAATCGGAGGATTTCAAAGCACAGCACGGGCTGTAATTACTCCTGGCATCCCCATCTCCTCCAGGATGGGAGCAGCGATGCTGTGAGCCCTTTCAGCCCCTCCTGAAGCTGGCAGCTTCTCCCTGGGCTCTGAGGGGAGCAGAGTGTCCCTTCCTCTCCTCTTCCTCTCCTCCCGTGGCTTCCCAGATCTCAGCGCTGATACAGCTGCACGAACGCCGCGCGCCTTCTTTCTGCGCATGAAGCACTTTGCAAAGAGCCAGGGGCTGGGCAGCGCAGCAAAACCCAGACATTGTCTGGGCCACACGCAGGGAAGGAATAACGCAGAAACAAACAGATTTTCACAGTAGCAAATGTCTCAGGGAACAACCGGCGCAAGCAAATGAAGCTAGTCCTCAGGTGGTGCAGCTCCAGATGGGATCTGAGCACAGAAATTGCCAGGAGATGGGCAGCTCCACATGCCTGAGGTCTGGGGATTGCCAACCAGGTTGTGCCCAGACCCCAAAACCCTTCTTAGTAACAGCCTCACCCCCCTCCACCAGCTTCCAGAGGAAGAGCCATGAGAGCAGAAAGGCAGGAGGCTGGTGCGAGATGCTGCGAGCTCCCTGTGCTTTGCTCCTCATCCTCATGTCCCCAGATGTCCTGACATCTCCTGGCAGCCCAGGACGAGACGTGCCAGCAGCCCGGACTGTCCCGCTACATCCCAGGTGCTGCCTTCCAGGGAACCCCACTGTCCTTCAGAGGAACCCATCCAGCTGCAGCTAACCCCCACCACTACAGATTTTCGTGCTAAACCCCACGCCGACCTGCCTGGGTACCAGAGGGAGATCTCTCAGATGTATAAACAGATTAAACATGCCTCAGTGCCTGCGAACCTCTGCTCACTTCCCCGTGGAGGGCAACATTTCATGCATATCTGGGAACTCAGCGAGCGCTCACTGTTTAGATAAACCTTGTTCCGTATTAAACTGTAAATAACGTCTGCTCTGCCAAGCCAGGCCCCAGCTTGGCGTCCTGAAAGCTGCGGAGTCAGTCACGAGAATGGCAGACAAAGCAAGTGCAGTTGGTGGTTTTTAACAGAATCTCTATTTTTTGAGCCTTGTTTTCCCCTCCCATCCCATCTCTTCCCTCCCAAACCCCCTCCCTGCTCCTCTTTCGGCCCCCCTGCAGTTCTCTTTGCAGGCTGGCTTGGGCTCCCCCAGCTTTGCCGTCCTTGACAAACTCGAGGCATTTCTGCACGAATCTTGGAAGCTGGGGGAGATAACAGAGTGCAGAATGAGATAAACAGAGGGGAAGAGAGGGAGGGAGGGAGATCTCTGCAGGAAAGCACACGGCTGGGCCCACCAGCCCTTGGCACTGCTAGGGAAGTATAGGAGTGGGCACTGCGGCCTGCATCCTCCTGGCCTCTTGTAGGATACCAGAAGGCCCGAAATGATTTCAGACATATCCCCCCAAAATCAGAGCACGCCCACACCTCCACGTGGTGCTTGGCAACAGGCTGGTAGAGTTCAGGGGGCTCCAGGCTCCGAAAGGGAGATGAGAAGGGACTACCTCAGGCAGGAGCACTCCAAGCTCTCTCACTTGTATTCAGCCCTGCTCCTCTCCTGCCTCGCAAGCCGATAAGCCGTGTGCCTCACAGAAACCGCTCGAGATAAGGAAGGATTATAATCCTGAGACCCAAAGAGACAGGAGATTTGGCTGGTGTTCACACGGCAGGCCGTCAGCTGAGCCGTGCCGCCCCCTCCCACCCAATTCTCCTCTCCTGTGCGGCCTGCGCCCACCGCAACCCCCTGGCCCGCAGTGCCGCTATCATGGCGCGATTAGTTGCACAATTAATCGTTAATAGGAAGGGATTGGAAGGGATTAAGTACTTAAATAGAACACACGCTGCTAATGGGAATTTATAAAAACACACCTTCTCCCTCAGATACTGTGCCACGCTTTCAGGGAATTAAAACGACCGACGTGGGCCTTTTTCTCCGCACCTCCTGCGCAGAGGAAACGCGTTCCCATCCCCGTGGAGCTGCAGCCTGGGGTTGGGAAGCTCTGGGCAGCACAGCACACCCCAGCCCCGGGTCCCTAGGGACAGGGTAGCCCCCAGGAGAGCTCCTCCCTGCTGCTGGTGCTGCTCCAGGGGCTCTCGGGGTTACTGCTGAAGCAGGAGGCTGGATGGTGCTGGGAGGGTTGTGCTGCTGGTGCTGGGTACAACCAAAAAGCATTAAAACTGCTGGTTCTGCCTCCTCCAGGCTCCCAAGCAGGTGAGGTTCCCCTCTTCATCCCGTCTCACACACACTGATTTACACTGCAAATAGAGTTTGCTGCCTAAAAACCCAGGTGCTGGGAGGCTGCCCAGGTGCCCCAGACCATCCCGGCCCTTCTGAGCCCCTTTGAAGGGCTGAAAACAGTTTGGAGGCACCTGGTAAATGCAATGCTCAAACCGTGCTGCTGCGGCTTTGGTCCCTGTGTCCCCACATCCCCTCGGCCACAGCCGCAGCCACAGCCCTTGGTGCTGAGCAGGACTTTTCATCCAGCCTGCGGCAGCCCCGGCAGCCCATCCTCCCCACCTCCACCCCACGTCAGAGCAGTTTTCTGCCTTGCATCAAAAGCCAAACAGGCGGAAAAACAAACCCCTTAGCTCTTCCGATTGGGGCAGTCTGAGGCGTCCCTTTGGGGTTTCTTGCCTCGACCACACAAGCCTGCAGTGTGGCTTGGCCCTGCAGAGGTTTCCTCCGCACCGGGCAGCGTTTCAGACTCCTGCTCTTCCTCTAAAAGCAAAATACACCAGGGCTGTGCCAGCCGATGGGCTCTGCACGGGTCCTGCCCCTGTTCCATCTGCTTTGAGGGGTGACACAGGCTGTGCAGGGTCCCCTGGGACCCCAAAGGATGTTCAGTGCCATCATGGGCAGTCTCCCCGGTGCAGCTCTGCTGGCAGCCCTGAACCTGCTCCTGGGACAAACGGAGGCTTTCAGCCTCCAGGGCTGCTCGTTTCCCTCCTCTGGCCAGTGCCACGCTCCCAAAACACACGGTATCAATGCTGCCGTTGTAGAGGCAGATCACAAGGGCTGCAAAGCTCGCCCCTAGATGTGGTCTTCTTCAAGCAGGACCTTGGCAGACCTGCAGGAGAGGCTCTCCCTGCTGCCTCCGCCTGGGATGCAGCTGCTCCCTGCTCTGGATGAACACTGGCCTTCAGTCCCCTGGCTGCAAACACTGAAAGCAAAGAGCAGGCAGAGGTACCCAGCTGGGTACGTCCCTCCTGGGAGCCTGACGGGCAGGGCTGCAAGTCCGATACCACCAGGATGGGCAAAATACAAAGGACAGATAAGAGCAGGCTGGGATTTGTGAGATACAGCTTGTTCCTGACCGCCCGTACTTCCTGCAGGCTGTGGCACAGCAATTACTGTGCAGTAGTTAGTTAATAATTACAAGCTGACCGGCCCTTGGGAACATCCGTAGCAGATTCTCCTTGCTCTTAAATCACTGCTCCCATCTGAGGCATGAAGAACAGATGCTGGAAAGGTTTTTGTGCCTGAAGTAACACAGGAGCAGTTCCTCACCCCTCTGGTGACTTTGTTTGAGGGCAGCCAAGCCTTTCATTGATACCTCAGCCAAGCAGTGAATTTGGCCACTATCCCCCCTCGGAGATGGGATGGGACTGAACTCACCCAAACCCAAATAGCAGGTAGAGCCAGGAAAAGCATCCAGGACATCTAGCACAGGATCCGGCCTCCAGACCACTACCTCAGCACCATTTCCTTCTCTATTCTGCTCTTTATAGAGCCTGGCTGCCTTGATTTGGCGTTCTGGGAGCAGACCCTGCCTGAGCCTTGGCAGCACGCTCCCTGCCAGGCCACCGGCACTGCAGAAACGAGCGGGTAGCTTCTAGCCCTCCGTGCCATCTAGGTGACAGCACACATCACAGCACAGATCCTACAATGAAACTGGAGAGGATTTGCGATGCTCACAGCCTTAGCTGGCGGCAAAATCACCATGCCCTTTGCTGCTGTGGGTCCCCTGACTTGCACTCGGGTGCCTGGTGAAGCGTGGCATGGAGCAGTTTAACACACTGACACAGGCAGGTGCAGCAGGAGGACATTTCCTGGGTAAAAAGAGGTCACCTGAGCAGCTACAACACCCTTCAAACCAGATTTTTGTAGAATCACAGAATGCTTTGGGCTGGAAGGGACCTTAAAGATCACCCAATTCGGGACACCTCCCACCAGCCCCACCCAGCCTGGCCTTAAACACTTCCAGGGATGGGGCACCCACAGCTTCTCTGGGCAATTTTAGAGTCTGAAAGACAAAAAGAGGAATCGAAGTGCTACTGTAGACCCCCGTAGGCCCCCAGTTACGTCTCTGGTACCTACAGATCAGCAGCACTTGCTCCAGCACAGGCTCATTGCATAAGCTGCCAGCCTAAGAAGCTTTCCCCCAGATAATTCAAGCCACTCTAGGCAGCGTAAAACCAGGCTCTCAGGGGTGCTCCATGCTGGAGCACAAGAAACAACAAAAAAACCCTCCATACATGAATTTGTATGCGCGTGCATGTTCGCAGAGTTAAGGCTCCCGTCCACAAACCTCATCAGATTCAGCAACTAAAAATAGAGACGGCTCCAAGAGTGGGCAGCGCGGGGAGAAGCGGGCACGACAGAGGAGCAACAGTGAGGGAGGGTGCAGCTAAATCTAGTGGGGATCATAAATCACAGCCCCCAAGTGGTCCCAGCCTATTAACACTTATCAAGTAATTAACTAGACAGAGTGGAAATAAACTGCTTCAATCAAAATAGAGAAATGGCAGAAACAAGCAGAAGGCTTGGAGTGTTTCTGCTTCCCAAAAAAGGCACATTTTGATTTGTTCCGAGGCTGCAGTGCTTCTGATCGGCTTCAACAGTCTCCTCTTTCTAATTTAGCAATCCAATTAAAAGTCATCAAACCCACAGCAGCACTCTGTGAACCCAGCCAAACCCAGCCCCCTGCCCTGCTCCAAAGCCCCCAGCTGGGGAATTTGGGGTTGTTTTAAAGGAATCAGCCAGGCATTGCAGAGGTTGGGGAAGAAAGAGAGGGAGGGGGAGCGGGTTCACGCAGAAGCCTTCTGCAATAAAACATTTCCCTGCATGTCAGGTCGTGAGGAAAGGCTGAACAGGTACCCAGAAGAGAAATAAAATTCTTGTCACAGCAGTGTCCCTCTGGGAGACCTCCCCAGACCCCAGCTCTCAGCTACAGCCCAGCACAAAGCAGCACATCTTCGAGGTTTGCTTAGACCTCAGGTTTGGGAAACAGGGCCAGGAATATGCTCCTGGCCTCAGTTTCCCCATCTGATAAACAAAGATGATAGTGCCAGCTCGAGGGTGTCATGAGGGTGAGTTGTATGGGTGTAGCAAACGAAGAGTAACACAATAATTGGATTAAATGCTCCATTAATTGGCCACAAAGTGCCCTCATTAGCAGTGCCATTCCTCCCAGGTACAGAGAAGCCGTGCACCTTCACCTTCCCTTTCCATATACTAATAAAAGGGCAGCAAATCCCGCACAGCTCCATCCTGTTTACTTCCTCTGCTGTGCATCACCGGCACTAACAGCTCCGATGATGCCCCGTGTTCCCACGGCGCTGCCAGAGGTGGCTGGTACCAGGCACCGATGGCACCGCATCAGAAATTCGCTGCTGGAGTTATGGATTATTTTCATTACGCTGGCCCCAGAGACCGAGGACTGCTGTGCAAAAGGCAGCGATGAGAAGCTGTCCCTGCTTCCAAATGCTCCTGATTTAAATCCACAAAGGGAGATAAAAGGGAAGCACAATAGAGGGCCGGGCTCCCAGCAGGTCAGCAGCAGGCCCAGGGACAGATCGCAGCGGTCTGTGCGCAGCCAGGGATGCTCTGAAATGCCCCCACCTGAGCTGCTCTGGGAGACCTGCTTCCAAAAAAAAACAAGGAGCACGAATCTTTGAAAACAGAGGTCAAACAGCCCTCAGCTCCACAGGGCGAGCACTCTGCAAGTTATTTATCCTCCCAGCCCCCTAGTGTGATATGGACAGTACCTGATAGGAGATGGTGGCACAGAGACATCACAAGCAAAAAGTGCCCAAATCCAACCACCCCAAAGCCTGGGGCTCCTGCTCTGTGCCCTGTGTTCCTGCAGCTCTTAAAGCTGTGGGTTGTTAAGCATTCAGCACAGGAGTGAGAATTTTAGCAGGAGCCCAGCTGCTGCTCAGGTGCAAAAAGGGTCAGGGGTCCAGCAGGGATCAGCCCTGGGGGCTTTTCCCGGTGGGAATGCAGAGCACCAAGCCTGGCTGCAGAAGTGGAGCCTTAATTGTGGTGGCTCGGAGCTCATCCCTAAACCAACAAGGAGACAGAGAAGGCAAGAGAATACCGATCTCAGATCGGAGATGGAGCACAAACAAGCCACGTGAAAGGAGGGAGGCAAAGAAGGAATCGAAGGAGATGAGATATTGCAGTGGTGTCAGCAGCACAGGCCAACCCCAGCCATCTCTGGAGGCTTGCTTGCTCTGCTCTGTGGCTTGAAAACAATTTCGCACTGGCTTCTTTTTCAGCCAGGCTGGCTAGACAAAGATAGGAGCTGAGATTGTGAGTGGCTCAGCAAACAAGCAGCAGATGAGCAGTGCTGGCTGCGGGCAAAACACTACCTGAAAAGAAACCTTGATTAGGCATGGTAAGAGAGAGCAAAAGATGCTTCATCTGATTACAGATCGACTCTGCAAAGTTAATTGTTCACCCGATTGTAATCTAGCCTTTCACATCTACATTAATCAACAGGTTGCTTTCTGCTATCAGTTTTCCCTCTACAAACAGCAGAAGTGAGTTAATTTGGAGAAAAGCAAATTCAGCAGGTCAAACCCCTGCCTGGGCAGAGTTTGCTCAAAGCGGTTAAAGGGCCTTTTAAATGGAGACCTTTTCTTGTTTGTCTGTCTGTATGGATGCGAACCAAGGGCACGTCATCAAGCAGGGGCAGAGCTGACCTCTCGGGGTTTTACTAATTACCCAGAGTGAAACTCGCTCCGAGCTGGGCTCGGAGCATTTCTGAGCTCTGTCGCTGTCCCCAGAGCCCGGAGTCCCTGTCCTGCTGCCAGTGCCATGGAGCTGCTGCTTTGCCTCGGTTTTCCCGAGCGTGGAATGAGGAACTGGGAGGCCTTTAGTGAGTATAAACCTTCCTGGCAACTCCTAAAATCATTTGGACGTGACTCCAAACATACAGCCCAGGTTTTCTGGAGATTCTCAGAGCTCCTGGCCCAAACCTCAGGTCTGTAAGGAAGCCAGAGGAATGTCTCGGGGTTTACAAGGAATGACCAAACACTGATTTCTCTCCAGAAGGCCAGACCAAGGGGGTGGTTTGAGTGGAAACTGCAGCATTAATACCTTAATGCACACGACATTAAAACAGCTACTTTGGAAGCCAGGAGGACGGGCATATCTGCTGCATTTCGGTCACCTGCGATGCCTGGCTATGGGACACCCTCGCTGCGCTTTGTCACGCTCTTGCCAGCGAAGTCTACGTAGAGGGTCCATTCAAGGGACCACAAAGGGAGCTTGTTTGGTGAAAGGGACCTTCAGGAGTTGAAACGAGTATTTTAATGCTTCCGTGCCTATCTCTGCCAGCATCCCAAGGCTCTACAGATCTCAGGGAGAAAACCTGGGAGAACAAAGCAAGGTCAAGTGTTAACAGATGGAGACTCAGACATGGGGGTACAGCGACGGGTCCAAGGTCAGAGAGAATCCATGGCACGGCCAGGGACAGTCAGATCACTGGAGTGCTGCTCTTCAGCCATAACATTTCTTCTCTTTTTCAAGCAGTTAAGAAAGGAGGAACTCCCAGTCATTGCTGGGGAGGTTGTTCCACTGCTGATTTATTAATTATCTTCGTTCAGATCCTGTACATAAGTCTGGGTGCCTGGGAACAAATCTGTGAGCTCTGCAAACCCTCCCATCAGAAGGAAGTGGTCCTGCAGTACAGGCACCAAAACTGGCACAGAAATCTTCTGGCATGACAGTCAAAGAGAGTCTGAAAATCAGAGCAAACAGAGAGCTGGATGCCTCACACACAAAGAGTTTCAAGGCCAGGTTCCCAGTTTCTACCCCTGCCTCTTCCTTTTCTGCATCTAGCTCTTGGATGTGTTGTGTCCCACCAACGTGCTCATATCTCCTGGAGGAAGGGATGCTCTGGACTATGAACATCCTTTGAGACCCGTGAGTGAGGCACTGCTGATGTGTCCCCATGACTGTAACTGACCGACTGCCACCACAGCCTGGTGTTTGCATCAGGGGGACCCCCCCAGGAGCACCGGAGCTGCCTCTGACGACCTCTGCACGGATGGGGTGACCCAGGTGCCCTGCCACAACCATGTGGGGCTGGAAGACAAGGCTGTGCTTGCATTTACCCCATTTCAGCTCTGTGTTAGCACACATCGCAGCGCCACGTGCGGCCCCGTTACCACCCAGGAGGAAATCAAAGCAGGACACAGGTCCTGCCTGAAGGCACTGGCCCTTTCACAGACCTCATCCAGGAGCACCAGCTCTCTGCCTGCTGCTCATCCAAAGCTCCCCCCTCAAACTCTTCCAACCCCAGCACGCCCCCCGCATGGTTTATTTGGTTGATGGGCACAAACAGCCCCATGCCAGCAGCCCCAGGCCCATCTCCGATGCTTTCTCCTTTCCCAGTTCGTGCCACCATCGCACCCAGCAGCCTGCAGGCTCTTCCCAGTTTATTTTCACGGAGAGACAAGCTGGTTTGTTAAAGGCGGACTGGCACGGGTGCTGGCAGGGCAGGGACAGCAGCTCCCCGCGGTCCTGCCTGGGGGGAGCTCCTTGCTCCTCACCCCGGGGGCTCAGCAACAGGCACCTCGGAGGGACATGGATGATACCGACGGGCACAAGGAGCACAAGGGGCAGAGCGTGTGGCTCCTGCAAGCAGCCCCACGAACTTCCACGCTCCTGGAGCCAGCTCCGTGCCCCCCGCAGCCTCTAGGCTAACCCTCGCCCCCCAAACCCGTGCTGGCCCCCCAGCAAACAGCACACGCGGGTAGGAGCTGAGAGAAGGAAAAGCACCGGGTAGGGCTCCCGAAGCCACGCTCAGCACCGAAAGGCGCTCGGGGATCTCCTCCAGCAGCGAGCAGCCCGCTGGAAATCCCTGCTGCACTTGGTCCGGAGCTGAACCCTCCCTCCCCGCATCTCCAACTTCTGCCGTCCCCTCCCCGACAGCCCCAAAAGCAGAAGAGGGAGCCCCAGCCCCCGAGCCCAGGCTGCCCGGCTCGGGGTCGTCACCCCCCCTCGCCCCCGGCTCCCCCCGGCACTCACCGGGCCGCGGCAGCGCTGCCTCCTTCCTCCTTCCTCCGCCGCCTCGCCGGGGCCGGGGCCGAGCGGGGGCGGCGCTGCGGGGCCGGGCGGGGAGCGGGGCTGGGACCGGGACCGGGACCGGAGAGGGGCCGGGGCTGGGAACAGGAGCGGGGCCGGAGTGGGGCTGGAACCGGAGCGGGGCCGGTACTGGGATCCGGAGTGGTGCTGGGATCCGGAGCGGTGCCGGAATCCGGAGCGGTGCCGGTGCCGGTGCTGGAACCGGAGCGGGGCCGGTGCTGGGATCCGGAGCGGGGTCGGTGCCGGAGCGGTGCCGGTGCCGGTGCCGGTGCTGAAAGCGGAGTGGTGCCCGCTGGCGGTGCTGGAAGCGGAGAGGTGCCGGTACCGGTGCCGGTACCGATGCCGGTGCCGGAACCGGAGCGGTGCCGGAGCCGGAGCGGTGCTGCCGCAGGACCCGGCGCGGTGCCGGTGCCGGTGCTGGCTCCTCCCCGCCGCAACCCGGGGCCGAACAGAGCCCGCTCGGGGCCGTGCCGGGATGCTGCGGGCCGGGAATTTCCCCCCTCCACCCACCCCGGGCTCTTCCTCCTCGTCCCGGGGCAGATGCCCCGAGGTGCCGGTGCTCCGCCGAAAGTCGGTGCCCGGTGCAGGGGAGATCCGGGGAGGGGGGGGGGGGGATGGCTGCGTGGTCCCCACCCGAGGGCAGCCCCGGGAATTTCAGCCTCCGTCACTCCAGCGAGGCTCCGTCTTCAGTGGCAGCCTCACCTTCCACGCCAGCTATTTATTATTGCCTTATATTTAGCCAAACATTCCCCGTTTGCCAAAAATAGACGGGCCGTGGAAATAAATCAGGCTGACTGGAGGTGCCAACGTTGTCTGTCTGGAACTAATTAATTTCTTATATCCCCGGCTATATTAATCCTCACCCTCCCTCCGCAGACCGACCTGTCTGTCAGCAGAGTTTTTGTAATTAATGGGTTTTATGCTTAGATCTGAGGGATGCGCAGGAGTTTTAACGTGGCTGGGGAAGGCAGGGAGGGGACAAAATCCATCTGCACGGGGAGCAGAGACCCAGGGGCCAGAGCAGAGCTGATGAGGAGGAAGAGAGGAGGCACAAGGTCTCTGGGGAGAAATCCTATCCCAGGAAGCGTGTGGGATCTGCTCCTTCCAGGCAACGCGAGTCCACGAGGAAGGCTGTCCAGAAGAGACAAATTCGGGCTCATTTAGTTCTGCTGTTGCCAGAACTCCTTTTTCCCTTTTCCTTTCTGAACGTGGGAGTCCGGGGGGACTTGTTGACTCTCATTTCCTATATTAGAACCATCAACTTTGCTGGGAGACACTCGGAGGAGCGGGGAAGTGCACAGATGGCACTGCAGAAGCGTAAGAGCTGAGCCCCCATGGAGGACCGGGATGCTTTCCAGGCTGCTCAAAACTCCCTTTTATTTCTTCACTTAAACCTGTCCCATGGCAACACCCAGCTAAAACCTAAACCCTTTAGTAACGCTCTGTGTGTGGGGCAAAATATCTGGCATCAGCTCATCTTGGGGGCACGTGAGCCGAGACTCAGCCCAGCAGGGCTGAACAAACGGGCTCTGGACTGGAACTGCCCCCCAGGAGCGGACTTCAAGCTCGTGGCACGTTGCCCCGAGCACAGCTGGGGCTCGATGACTTTACAGCAAGGACAAGACACCTTCCCCTGGGCTAGGGGGTGAGCAGCTTACTCCTTGTGGCCCCACCTGTACCGGGGGATTCGCATCCTTTGCTTTGCAGGGCCTGGGGAGCAGCAGCAGAGGATGCAGCCCCGGAGGTGCAACATGCAGGCTCTCTGCGTGGAAGCCTGCCCTGCCTTCACCCCTGGTCAATGTGTACCCGGTCATGTGGGCTGCAAAGTCAGCGGCAGCTCCGTGTGCCGTTGGCCATCACGTTCCCTTTAGGGCACCGCCTGCACAAACTGGCTCGCTTGCTGCGTTTGCTGCAGCCCCACGGTCCGGCCGTGCTCAGCATGCCCCTGGTGCCATCCTCAGCCCTCTCCTCCCTTTTGGAGGGGAGCTGGCTCCCGGGGCAGACGTCTCCAAAGCTTCTGCGCCGTTCCCAGCATGGTGCAGCCCGTGGCACAACAACTGCTGTTCCATTCCAGCCCCATCAGACCACCTGGCACTGCAAGGCCATTTTAAACCAGAAATCAGAGGAGATCCCCAGCACAAGCGGTGGCTAATTAAGGAAAGGAAGCCCCCGGGCCGGAGATGGCCAGAGAGCCCAGCTGTGCAAGAGAAACAGGCAGCGTGCAAAGGGCAGGAGCGTCACACGCAATTAGCGGCGGAGGCGCGAGCTGGGCGGCTGTGTCACACAGAGTGCCACCGGTGCGTGACGTCCCTCATAACCATAAATCACAATAATCACCGTGCCGAGGAAGGGAACGCTGTAACCCTGACAGGGATGACTTTGGGAGGAGGACGCGGAGAGGCAAAGCCGGCAGCTGAGAGCCACTCCTGGAGCCGTGTGCTGGGAGGCTTGATGGCAGGAGGGGTGATGGGTGCCAGCACGTGAGGTAAGAGCACAGCTCGGCTCCCAGGCACAGAAACGTGGTACCAACAAGACTTACACTGCAGAACGGGGCTGGGGATGGTCCACCAGTAATAGCCCAAAGCAAACCAGCCCTTAATGTGTGCTCTGCAAAGGGCAGCACAAGCTGAAGTCGCTGCTGTTGGACTTGGCACCCAGTGGTGGATGCCTCTGCAGTGGGGAGCGTTGCGGGTGCAAGGCAGAGCCTGCAGGGCGTTTTCCAAACACGCCAGCTTAATGGCTGAGCAGAAGGCAGGCATGCTTGATTCTCCTGATTTTTTTATTTTTTTTTTCTGAAATTACTTCAGGCTCCGTGGTTGTTGTTTTCCCCTTTTGTATTGACACGGTGAAATCACGCAGCCTCGTGTGGTTCCAGCAGAGATCAGGGGTGAAAATGGGATCGCTGCAGTTAGGGGTATTTTACAAAAAAAGTGGGACTGGCTGGGAAACTCCAAGACTTTGTGTAAGTCCATGGCTGTGCTCACTTCAGCTCATGCTGGGGGAGATTTTGCTCAGCAAATCCTTGTCCTCCTCATTTTGCATTTCCTAGTGTGTCACCCTCCTGCTGCAGCCAAGGGAGTGCTGGGTCGCACTCTCCCTTTGGGTACAAATTGTACAAAGAGGCTTTCCACCTCTGCAAACAGCTCCTCAGCCCAGCTGTGGACGGTGCTGGGGAGAGGAAAGAAGCGGGGTGTGAAGGGGAGCAGTGAGCAGGGAGGCTCCATCCAAATGGATGCTGCACCCCGAGTTGCTGCGATGCACGCAGCCCAGGCTGGTGGCTCTGCTCCGCCTGCCACTGCCCCCATTTGCACTGCCTCCCCCCCCTGAAACCCATAAACCACAGCGGGTGCAGGGCTGGGCTGTGGGGCCGCTGCCTCTGTTTGCAGGCAGCGTGCAGGCGGGGGTGTTTTTCGGGAGCAGCAGGGAAGGCTGCAGCATCCTGAGCAGCATTTTAATCACGGACCCAAGGGGTTTGCTAGGGATGTTCCTCTCCAGAACCCTCCCTCTCAGCAGACGCTGCTGCAGGGATGTCGGGGAGACCACAGCAAGCCGAGGGGCTGGCACAGCCTGGAGGCAATGGGGAGAGCACTCCCAGCCGTGCAGGACCACGCAGAGGGTGCCAGACACCGCTGTCACCCCTTGTCCCTGTGCAAACCTGCCCAAGGACGGGGCCGTGGGAGCACTGCAGGGATGAACACGGCGCTAGGGCCAAGGCACTGCTCATTTCGCAGAGCTACGCCCTGCCCCAGGCATGCTCCCTGCGTGGCTCCCAGCCAGAAGCATTAAATCCTCTCCTTTCTCCCTCGCGGTGAGGCCCCAGTGGGGACACCGCATCCAGTCCCGGCTTCGGGAGAGGGGAGGGAGAGTGCCCAGGGCAGCTGTGGGACGGGCAGGGGGCTGACAGACCTGCGGCTGTTCAGTTTTGATGGCAAAGGGCTGAGAATCATAATCACAGAATTGTTTAGCTTGGAAAAAAAAAATCTCCAAAACCATCTAGTTCGACCTGGGAGGCCACGGCACCTCCAGATGCACCAAAGAGGAAGGGAGCAGCCTGGCCTCTGTCACCACGCTGCAAAGCATCCCTTGCAAACAGGACATGCCATTTTTGTTGTAAGCTGTTATCCCCCCTTTAATTCAATCCCTGCCCACCCACCCCAAGAGGCTGCAGAGCGTGGGGCTCACCTGCCTGGTCTCCAAGCCAGGGGGCCGAGTCCTGTAAAAAAGTGGAAGGCGTTTGGATGTGCTCAGCAGGGAGCTGAACGGAACAAACGTGGAAAAATGCACCGAACAACGAAGCTCCAGACCCAGTAAGACTCAGCTGAGGAAGATCTATATGGTCACCAAACAGTGCCCTGCCCTCTGGGCATCACTATCTTGCTGGGGAGAAATTTGGAGCCCCTGTCACAGCCCACCGCTGTCACAGAAAAGTCCTGGCAACCCTGGTAAGCGCATGAAGTATATTAAAGATGACAGCATAGACCGGAGCCTGGGCAAAATGATAGCAGCAGGAACGTGCTTGACTCACGGAGGAAGCAGAGGCCAGCTCCGGGGGACTTCACCTGCTTCCTTCTGCAGCTCCTCCAAGCTCCCTTCCCCTCCGCGCAGAGCCGTGGCGGAGCTGTGGATCCCCCCCAGATCCCCAGCAGCTCACAGGCACGTTTTCCCCACCACTACACTCACATGGGCACGCATGTGTGCTGCTCCAAGGCCAGTGGCCGCGCGTGGGTCTGCGGGGAATATTTTACAGTTGCTGCATCCAGGCGGCAATTCTCGCCCGCGCTGCCCCGACATTCAATAGTAGCGCAGGCAGCGAGTCATGGAAAGAAAATGTGTTCAATGCCTCCCCTCCCCATGGACAGCAATCCCTTGTGCACACGCAGGCATGTGGAAATCATTGCCCGGAGACCAGCGCTGCAGTTCAGCAGAGGGCTTTGCTTTAAAGGCTGGCTGCTAAGGCAAGAGGGCAAACGGCCCCGTGCTTGAGTGCCCAGCCTGGTGCGTCTGGATCTGCTCTGACCGAGTGCTGAGGGGGCCGGCTGCAGCACTGCTGTCCTTGGGAAGGTGCCTGCTGCTGCAACGTGAGGCTTGGTCTGCGCCTGTGACCGTGCACGGGGTTAGCAAGGGGTGCAGGGGCTGCAGGTCACCCCAACAGCCACCCCAACAAACCACATCTCTGCTGGGTGCCTGCAGCTCCACGGACTCCGGCTACATGTATGGGCAAGGCACAACGAATTTTGTTATTCCCTTTTTACAGGCAGCAGGAGAAAGGGATGCAAGCTCATCAGCCCTCAATGCAGCCTAGAGCCTGCTCCCGGTGCCAAGGGAGCTCCTCAAGGTCACCCTGCAGGTGCCCTACAACCCGCACCCCGAGCCCTGCTGAGCCCCGTTCTGCTGCTGGCCCACGCAGGACCTGGCTCCCTGTAAGCACCGCTTGCCTTGCAGCTGCAGGCAGCGTAAATCGCTGCACAAGTCAGCCTGCTGCATGCTGCACACAACACAAAGTCACCGTCCACAAAGCGGGGCTGGCCAAAACACAGCTGGCCACGCAGCCGTCAGGCCAACAGCAAACGGGTGAATCCACCAGCAGCTCCCCTTAATTTTGTCCGTGGAGCATCACCATAACAACAAACCCTCCAATCCAGGACAGGGATCCACGCACTTAGCAACCAGAAGCTGCCAAATTATCAGAAAGTACAAAAGATGCTCCAAGGATCTCCTCCAGGATCCTGCTGCAAGCGCACCCGCTGCACAACTCCTGCGGCACAATGGACAAAGCCAGAAAAAAAAAACACAAAACCATACAAGAGAGAGTACAACCAATACCAAACCCTCTCCCCCAGCAAGGATCTCTAGAGAAAAACCATCCACTGCCCTGCCAGCGGTGCCATCGGAGGTGAGCCTGGTTTTGGGGTGTGACATTTGGCTCAGGGCTGTGTTCGCCCCCCCTGCTCCGCAGCAAGGCGAGGCGCTGGGCTGGCACCACCCGGCACGCTCAGGTCCTGCAGAGCCTCCCGGTCTTCACAGGGCCACAGAACCTGGAGGAACCGAGCACAAGTGCTCTGCCTGAAGGTCTCCAGGTGGGCTCGGCGGGTGCTTCATGGAGGCTGAAGCATCGGAGCTGTGCAGAGAGGAGCCCAGGGGCCAGCGCTGGGCAGCTGCTGCAGTTTGAAAGCAGCCAAACCCAGCCCCAGAGGAATTTGCTCCTGGGAGCAGACCTTGTCCCTCATGACCCTGTATGAAGCAAGCCCAGGGAGGAGGTAAGTTATGGGTTTTTTTTTTAGGGAACAATCCATCTCCATCCCAGTGACTCACTGACAAGCTTCCCTTTTCGAGGCAGTTTGCAGGGTGAGCTGCAGGGTGAGCAGCCCGTCCCCGCTCTGCCTGGAAGAGATGAGTAAGTGTCCCAAGGGACTTCAATCCGCTTCCTCTTGGGGCCAGGGTCACAGTTCTGCGGGGAGATGTGCCCGGCAAACCGAGCTGACCAAGTGCTTCTCCTCTTCAGCATGCACCAGGAACACCAGCAAAGCACCCGGCGCTTCCCTGCCAGCAGAAAGTGGGAGTCCTTGGTACCAGGCATACAAGAAATACTCTGCAATTCGGAGCAGAGCATCAGAGGGGGGTTTCCAGCCCAAACCACCGAGACCCCCATTAGCAGGGTGCAACCTCTGGCCTGGGCAGTGCAGGAGGTCTGGCTGGAGAACCACACGGGCTCTCCCCAGCCTGCTGCTGGAGCGAGGGATGGATGGAAAAGGAGGAGCCTCAGCAGCGGGCTGGCACTGTTCAACAAGAACAGCTTGGGTGTCACCAGAAAGGGACTCCCTCACTGCTGACTTTGACAGCCTCAGGAAGCTACGCCAGGATTTGCTGCTTGCCTCGCAGCCTGTTAGCTATTTTCAGCCCAAACGAGTGATGTAGCCCGGCTCTGGCTTCCCAAAACACCGATGCAGGCGTGAGAGGGATGATAAACGCGAGAAGGCTTCCAAAAAAGAGAGCCAAGAGAGGGTTTGACCCTCAGTGCCAGACACAGGCACAGGAGGGGGCACAGAGCAATGCACCCTGGAGAGGGCAGAAGTGGAAGGGGCACGGCCAGGGGGGCTTGGCAGGGAGAGCAGTGGGTGCATCCCCCCTTCTACGAATGTGCCAGCCGAGCTCGTGGTGCCTGGGAGCTGCTCCAGCCCCCGCGGGTCTGTCACTGCTGCTGGAGCTGATGTTCTCCCCCGGCGCCTGCTGCTGTAATCGGGGAATTGGAGCAGATGGCAGCGGTTAGCTGAAAGGAGGAAAATCGCATCCACGGCTGCCACGTGCTGAGAGCAAGCTCTTCCTTCCCAAACCCTTCCTTCCCAAACTCTTCCTTCCCAAGCCCCTTCCCTCTTGGGAAGCAGCTTGGGGGCTGAGGGTGCTGTGATCAGAGGGGAGCTGCTCTGCAGGGCTCTGCAGCCGCAGCACCCCAAAAAGTGCCCGGCTGCTTTTCTCTCTTCTGAGAGAAAATAAATCAGGCTAGGGCAGGTGAGGACCTTGCCCCGTCCTTCCCAGCAAACATGTGCGCTGTGTGTTTGCAGACGTGCAAAGGTCACGATGGGCAGAGAGGCATTCCTGGGGGGGGGGAGATGAAGCCTCGTGGGCCAGCCCGCATCCCAGGAGCTCCGCTCTGGGCTAAACTGGTGCTGGGGTACCTGGCAGGGAGGAAAACACCAATTTTCTGGTGCATGCAGCCCCCTGCGAGGCAGGCTGTGGGGAGAACCTACAGCTCCTCGGAGCTGTCTGCAGCTGTGATTTCCTTGGCTCTGTCATTCCCCAGGCTCTCCCGGCGTGTTGGGTCCCCTCTCCTGCTCACCTGCTGGAAGCACAGCCTGAAATCATCTTCCCTGGCAGGCTGCAGAGGAACTTTCCTGCTGGCTTCTTCTGGCTCTGATCCCTCCTGACACACGCTGCCTGCCCTGCAGATGGAGCGGCTGCAACCCAGCACCATGCGCGCCCTCAGCCTCATCCTGCCCTCGTCTCGCTGAGCTCTGAGCATCCACAGCAGAGGGAAAGCCGCGGGGACACGCAGTCTTTGCAGTCATTTCCAAGGCACAGGGCTTAGGCAGGACTGTGCCGGGTAAACCTGTGCTCTCATCTCCCAGATTAAACCAATTAGCACCACAGAAGAGGTCTGTGCTTGCAGCTGCTGAGCCTGACTCTCCTTGTGCTCGTGCTGATTCAAGCCAGGAATAAATAAAGTCCATAAAGGTACTTTGATGTAGAGCTGAGAGTGAGAGGAAAATACCAGTTCTGTTAGCCAGCATTCAGCCTTCACTCTCTTGCTTTTAGTGCTTCTCAAAAGCCCCTTGGGTATAACCAACTTATTTTTAGCTGTTTACTTATTAAACAAACGCAAGGGAAGGCTAAATGTCAAGGCATTTCTGCATACCGAGACGGACTCTGCACATTCACTCTGTCACAGGCTGGGATGCTGGAACAAATTCACTGCTCTGGACCTGGGGGAGCAGCAGAGCCAGCCAGGGGAGGGCAATCCTGCCCCAGAGCTGGTGCTGCTTGTAGCATCCCCCCAAACATCTGGATGCTGAGCACCTCCCAGCTGGGGGAGCATCTATCAGAGCAGCGCAGCACCCACTGGATGGCTGTGTATGTCACCTCCTGCTGGGTTTTTACTATGTTTAACCCCTCCACACACACAGCTAATAAGGAAATGCCCAGCCTCAGAAGCAGAAGCAGAGAAGAGGTGAAGGGACTTGCCCAAGGGTGATGGGAATCAGGTGGCCGAGCTCTGGGCAGGAGCCTCTGTGATGGAGGCAGACCTCAGTGCCATTTCCCTGCTGCTGACTCTTTTATCCTCTCCATTTATATCTCTCACAAAATATTGTGGGGACATATTTTCGGCATTGAGGATCTGCAGGAGAGGAGTAGTCTTGCTGCGCAGGCTGATGGCCATAAGGAGACCCACCGAGGCTCTGCAGCCTGCTTTGTGCTGGACCCTGACCGATGGGCTGAGCTCTCCTGGCTGGAACAGGACCTCTGGCGTGTGCTGTGCCACGACAGCCTCCCGGCAGGCTGGTGCCAGCGATTTCTGCCCTCCTGGGAGGGCCAAGAGGGGATGGAGCAGCTGCCTGCTCGCCCGGCTGATAAGGCACAGCTGAGCGGCCGTGACTCAGCACCCAGAGCCCGTGGCAGGCATGTGCCAAGAGGTAAATCCAGCTCCCAGCTGGGTTACCTAGGTGCTGCCAGACCCTAAAAAGCAGGGATGGGTCTCTGCTGCCTTCCTCGGGTGGGAAGCAAGGAGGGATTGAGGCTCACAGGCTGCTGGTCGGAGCTGGGGGCTCTGAGCAGCTGGAGTCTGGATATCTGTTGGCCCCCCTCTGGGCAGGAAGGGGGTTCCACAGAGCTGCCGTAAATCCCTTTCTCTGTCCTGTTTGGAAGGGGAAAGAGAGGAGCCTGGTCAAATCTCAGAGAAGTCTGGGCTCTAACCAGGCTCAGCAGCTGCACAAACTGAGCACCAGGCAGGCTGTCTGCGTGGAGCAAGCACAGGGGACCCAGGGCATGGTGCACAGCCCCATAATGCTGCCCTCCAGCCCTGAGCTCAACACCAGGCTCTTTCCCCTGGGCTGGGAGATCCCTGAGCTTCGGGAGATCCCTGCAGCAGGGATGGGTGAGACCCCCAGGGGTATCCACATCAATTTGGAGATGGTAGCGGGCAGAGAACCCCATGGGCAGCTGCAGGAGCCCTTCCCAGGAGATGGGGCTCTTGCCCTTGTGTTCTGTGTCCCTGCTCAGCCTTTCTCAGGTCTTTTTCCCACCCCACAGCCCCCCCCTCTCCGCTCCTTTGCCGTCCTGCCCCCCCTGCCGAAAGCAGAGGCAGGAGCCCCGCGCTCCCAGGGCACCGCAGGAGTTTTTGGAAAATGCTTCCACCTCGTGGCCCTCTGGAGAAATGACTGCCTGGGAGATGCCAGGATGCACCCCCACGAGCCCAGCCGGGACGTGCAGTGCCAAGGCTTTGCCACCCCGTTGCTCCTTCCACCAGTTCCCCCCAGGCTGAGCTGGGGAGGGATTGGAGCAGCCCCCATGCGCGCAGCCCACCCGTGGGCGCACGCAGACGCACGAGCGTGTGCCAGAGCTCAACCCGCTGCTGCCAGCCCCATGCTGCTGGGGGATGGCATCGCCACCCCTGCTTCTCCCCCAAAATCTGCAGCTGGGGGAAGGAAGGAGTGGAAAAGCCCAGGGTGCACGGTGGTGAGCACCAGCACCTTGTGGTCCCCATCCTGCTCCTGCCAGGGATGCCCTCTGAAACGCTGGGAAAGTGGGGAAGCCACTTCTGCTCCCTGCAGGAGCTGCCTGGGCTCTTCTGCTCCAAGAAAAACCTCTGGCTTGCACCTGGGTTTCCCGCTAGCACACAGAAGTTTTGGCTGGTTTGGGTTTATTTATTTATTTATTTATTTATTTTTGCACAGGATGGGGATGACACATCTGCAGGTTTGCTCTGGGCCACAACTGCTGCACTTCACGTTAAGTATCTTTAAGACAAATGATCCCTCTCTCGCAATTCTCAGGTGTCGTCTCATTTCCCCCATAAAAAGCCTCTTGTCCTGCTGCCTGCTAGCGGATAGGCTTGGGAAAAACACTTTAAAACCCGGTGGTGCTTCCCCCACATGCTGTTACAGGAACCAGGTGGCTTTCGCAAGAACTCTGTTTCAGGACAGCTGCATCTCCCTGAAATATTCCACAGCGGACGGCCATCCCTCATCTCTGCCCCTGGTGGAGCTCAGCAAGTGTTACAGAAATCCAGCTCAATCTGCATTTTAGAGGATGTAATCACTCTTAGAAACAGCTTTCTCCACATTCCCTGCAGCTGAGCTGCAACTCTCCTGGCTGTAAAACTTCTGCAGCGAGGGATGCGTTGCTCGGCTGTGCCTGTCCAGCAGCAAACCCAGCCTGAGCACACCACCGCTCACTTCTGGGAGTACGAAATGTCCTGCACCACGCTGTGATTTTGCAGGAATGCACCACGCTGTTCATCCGAGTGCTGTGTTAACACAACCAGCCCCTCTTTGGTGGTGTCCAAAATGTCTTGGTCAGCAGCTTCGCTGTTCTGCGAGGTTTTGCACCGCGGTTTTTGTCCTGGAAGCGGTGTCCCAGACCCAGAGGTGCTGCCAGGATCTTCACCCCATGCATCAGACACCCAGCAAAGCCCTTAGTGCCCAGCTGATAGGATGCCCTTGCAACCTCAGCTCTAGGGAAGAACCAAACAGAAGGATTTCCTGATGGGCTGTGCGATCCCAAGGGCCCCCTCTTTCCCTGCACAAAGGTGAATAATTCACAATATTTGCTAGGCATGAGCAAGACTCAGCTTTGTTTGTAACAACAGCAGGGTAATGTGATTACATTTTTAGTAGTCTTCACTTTTGTTAAAAAAAAAAAAAAACAAAATCCATGAAGATGGCAAATCCATTTGCCATGCTCCTTATGTGCAAAACGCATCGGGATTGTTCCTCCCAACGCCAGCGAGAGAACCCCAGTGCCACGGCGATGCTGCAGGGGAACGGCCGAGCTGGACTCAAGAGGTGAAGCACACCCATCCTCACCAGGGCAGAGCTGCTTCTCCACCAGCATTTGGCCACCGCAGGCACTATGCTGCTGCTCCCCATGCTGATCTGCTGCGTGCAGATGTGGTAGGGCCGTGCTGAGATGTGGAAGCAGCGACGCTCCTGCTGTCACCACCAGCGCTGCGCGCACCAGCAGAGCAGGCAGCCAGGCTGCTGGCTGCCCATTTGTGCTCAGACACACAATCCCTGACCCAGTCTCGGCTTGAACAGCCTGCAGAGTGGAAGATATTCCTGTGAGAGGTCGGTAATTAGCACAGGAGAGTGAGCAAACCTGCGGACGATCTGCAAGCACACCATGAAGATGTGGAGCTGGAGACGGTGCCTGCTGCCCAAAGGCACAGCACGGCTCCTCCTCATCACACAGGGGTTTGTCAACGAGGGGCTGATCTCTCATTTATTGAGGGTTTCACGTTCTGCAGAAAAAGTGGCTAGGGTTGCAGAGGAAACTTTCCCAGCAGGACCTGAGCGAATCTCAGCCACTCCGTGTGTGTTTGGAGAGCTGGGGAGCCCTGCACGGCCACTGGACTCTCGCATTGCCTCTGACTTAAAGCTCAGCTTGGCGAGCTCGATCCTGCACGGGGATGGCAAGGAGCAGGTAGGCAGGAGTGCAAAAGATGACAGCCTGCCAGTCACCATATGCAGCACCGGCCCCAGGAAATTAAATCCCTGGGCCATATGCTGCGCGGCACAGGAGGGAGCGAGGGGTCTGCAGCAGCGTCTGCAGCTGCCTGAGCGCACCCGTGGCTGGGGGTTCATAACCCAGCAATATTTCGCTGCTCCCCGGTCTCCCCGGTGCTGAGCAGGGAAGGATGGGGCCGGGGAAATGAAGGGAAGGATGACACGAATTCAGCCAGGCCCACTGGCAGAGCAGCCGTGCAGGCAGAGCCAATGGCTGCTCCTCGCCGTGAGTCCGTCCACCTCCACCCCCCCTCCCCGAGTCCTTAAGTCACAGCTTTGAACTCCCTCGGCGTTCAAAGCAAGCACGATGCTCAGCGTGAACAGAAGGACGAGCCTGGTGCTGGCAGGTACACAGCGAGGACGCTGAGCCCAGCAGGGCCGGCTGCTGAGACAGGTACGTGCCTTCCGAGGCAGGGCGCCGAACGCAATCGCATTTGGGATGCAAACTCGGAGCCGACTTGAATTTTCCAGCAGGGGGAATGATGGAAATCTGGCTCCGTCGACATGATTCATCCCCCTTCCCACTGCCGCCACCCCCCCGGCGTCCTCTCCCCACCCCTCGCAGCGCACAGCCCCCTGCTGCTGTCCCTCCTGCCCGCTGCCTTCGTGCCGGGTGTCCCTGTGCCAAGCGCGGGTGGCACCTGTGGGGCTGGTGGGTGCTGGAGCCGGGGTGCTGGGAGCTTGTGCCAGGCACTGAGCGGGGATCCCGGCTGGTAAGGACCATCCTTGGGGAGCTGGGTGCTGCCCTGCTCAGTGTGGGGGTGCTTGGGGTGCAGAGAGGGGCTCACCCGAATGGGTGCTGCCCCCCGAAAAGTGTCTGACACCCAGCGCTCCCGGGGTGGAGGGAGGGCAGGCAGTGAAGTGGGGGTGTCTGCTGAGTTGGGCTGTCCCCGTCCTCAGACTTTGCTCTCAAAGCATCCCGAGATGATGCTGTGTCCTTCTCAGCTGGTGCTCCTGCCCTAGGTAGGTTTGGGGAGTGGGGATGAGGAGAGGCCTGGCTGCAGGATGCCTCTGGGATGTGCCGGCGTTGGTCGTGCTGGGTGCTGGCCCTTTTTGGCTGGGAGGGTGCAGGATCTGCTGGCACCAGGCTGGAGGGTCCTGAGTGATGCCCAGATGCAGAGGGTGGTGGAGATGGCACCGGTGTGGCCACGTCCCTCCACCATCCCTCGTTTGGTGGTAGAAGAAAGCGACTTCTTCCCCAGCACCACGTGGCTCGCAGCCCCCAGGATTTCCACGTAATTCGGTCTGACGTGTAGAAACGCAGGGCTGCTCTCTCAAACAGAATTTAAAGGGATTGGGAGTCATGGGGGTGCCCCAACCAGGACTCACAGGATCTGCCTGGCTCCTGGGACAACTTCTGTGGTTTGGAGAAGCGAGGAGGCAACGTGCGCATTCACCAAACTCACAGCCTGGCGCTGCCCATCCCGGGGCAGGGGCTGCAGCTCGTGGCCCCGTTTCCCATCCCCTGCCTCCCGGTGCTGGAGCAGGGCTGGTTCCTGTGGCCGTGCTGATATAAATATTGTCTGACGACCCACTTTTGGAGCTGGTGCCATCAGGTGGCGCTTGGGAATAGGCAGCATCGCCGCGGGAGGCTGGGAGCAGGCACTTGTTGCTGCGAGCTCAGGGTGGGCAGGGGAAGGTGGCACCGAGGGTCGCCGGGCACCGAAACCCAAACCTCGGCCACTGCCAGGCGGCACGGGAAAGGAGAAAAGTCAGGGGGATGAACTGTGCAGAGTGATTTGTGCTGTGGAGATGGGAAGAGAAGCATGAAAAGTTTTTTTTCTCTCAGCTCCGAGGAGCGTGATTTTAATTATAGAGCGCTTCGTCAGATGTAGCCTTGTCTGGTGTGTGGCTCCAGCCCCGCAACCTTGGCAGGCTTTGCCTGGGCGAGCTGCCCCATGCGCGTGGTGTGACGTGGGGCTGAGGAAGAGACCGCCCCAGGTGGAAGTTTTGGGGCAGGCTGGGGAGCCGTGGTGTGCTCGGGGCGTTTTTTGGGGGAAGCAGATGCTCGGGGTGCAGAGCAGCGTGCACCCTGTGGGCTCCAGAAACCTGCTGCTCCCCAGCCCTATAGCGCTTGGGACAAAACCCACAGCCCGATCTGCCCAGAAGGGCACAGGGCTGCCTGGATTTATTCCCCGCATCCCACGTGCCACCTCCCCACACCAAACAGGGGTGGGAATCGGCTCCTGGTGCTTGGGGACAGCACCGGGCAGAGGTGGCCGGGTGGCAGCATCTTGGTGGCCACGCTGCGGGCTGGCTGGCCCCGTGCCACCCCTCTCCACCAGGCAGGGGTTTGTCAGCCCCCCCCCGGGGCAGACACAGCCCCAGCACTGCCCGGCCCCCCCCTAACCTCAAGGAGAACCTCCCCGTGGCTTCAAAGGCAAGGCAGGGCTGAGAGGACAAAGAGCAGCGGCGTGGCTGATAAGGCTTCGGGATGTATTTAGGTGCATGAGGTGGTCTGGGGAAGCCCAAACACAAAAGGCATTTTTACAGCTTTGCTTAAGCGCACAGAGAACAGACAGAAACTGAGGGTGGGGAAAAAAAAAAAAAAAAAAAAAAAGAAAAAGAAAAAAAAAGAGCTGCTCAGACTAAAGTCAGAGCATTCACGTCGGGGTTTGCAGCCGGTTTCACCAAACTACCTCCAACAAAACTTCCACTTGGAGGCAAAAAAACACAAGCCCTGCTCAGGGGCTAGATGGGGGACCAGGGACAGGGCACAGGAGCTGAGCAAAGCTGAGCAAAGCATTTTGGTGGCCTTGTAGTGGTGTGAGCCTCGGGCCAGGCTGCTTTGGTTGGGCAGGGCCAGCTCCCACAGCTCGCCCACCTCTCCTGCCGCTCGCCCCGTGGCTGCGAGCATCGCCCGGGCTGCCCGTGGGGTGCGATGCTCCCAGCAGCAGCCCCGGCTCCAGCGCAAGGGCTCACGTCCCCTGTTAATCAGCATTTAATTAAAGGACATGCTGACATTTGGAAATCAGAAACAACTCTCCTGTGTGGGCTGCCTCTCTCTGCCGCTCGCCTCTTCTCTGAATCACTCCCTGACATTTTGCCAGATTAGGATGCGACTCTCCCTCCCTCCTTCCTTGTAAAAATAAATTGAAAAGGAGATGCAAAAGGCACCGCCGCTCTCGAGGGAGAGGACGCAGGGGCTGGGGTTTCGCTGGGGAAAACTCCCGCTGTTCCCGGCGCTGCGGCAGCCTCGTGCACAGACCCCGCGGGGACGCTGGGCAGGGGGCTCTCACCGGCTCGGTGCACGGCAGCCAGGCGGCCCCCGTGGCCCCCGTGGCTGCTCTCCAAAGCCGTGCACCCCCGGAGAGCCATGTGGGCTTCTCAGGGCCCCCCCAGAAGCCCTGGGGGTGCAGCTGCAGGGACAAAAGCAGGCGGTGTGGATGCCCTGCGGGGACGCAGCATGCGAGGGGATGACACCCCCCTGCTCGCCCCCAACCTCCTGACCCCACAGCGGCAGCAGGGATCGTTCCTCTCGTGTCCTCTCCATCCTGCCGACCCCTTCCCTCTCCTCACATTTACCCCCACAGCCAAACCCTGGTTTTGCTCAGGCTTAGCCTCACCTGACCCCCCACCACTCACGAGCACCCCGCATGTGTCCCCCTTGCCATCCTTCCTTTGCCACCCCCCCTGTCCCCCCCAGCCCTCTCCCCTCGCATCGCACGAGCGAGAGCGCGGCGGCACCCAAGTGTGCTCCGAGGTGCCCCCCGCTCCCACACCTTCTGCTGCTCTTGAAACGGGGCCAGCGTTTTTGTTTGTCTGCTCGCCCATTGCCAGAGCTGGGAAAAACGCAAACAGCAGCGAGGGATGGGGGAGGAGGAGGGGTGGTGATGGTGGTGGGGGGGGAACCCTCACCGTTCGCTTCCCCTTGGCTGCTCATTTCAACCTTCTTTCAAGCAGAAATTACTCACATTAATCAAGAGTGAGAATGTGTTTGCAGCCCCGCAGATTTGGCAGCGCGGAATCAAATTCCATCAGTAGCAGCAGGAGGACGGGAGCCTGTATCTCTGCTGTGCACAGCCTAATAGAGCCATTGCCAGAGGAAATTGGATCTGAGAACTCCCCTAAATTAATCTACCCTTTACAAAAAAAAAAAAAAAAAATGCCAGGAGATCTACATGACAAATGAGTGTTTGCAACGGGAACTGATGCAAACACCCCGCACGTCGCTTCAGTGTGGATCTCCCCCTCTGCCAACACCTGCATGGAAAGAGGTACAAAACAACCCCGACCAGCGGGGCTGGGGGCACACGGGGGACCCCAATGGGCAAGTGGGGCCACGAGAGCTGCAGGGATGGGCAGAGGTGCAAAGACATCGCTGCCACTCAGCAACAAGCCCCTTTTTGCAGGCTCGGAGCTGGCTGCACCTGCACCGAGCATCTTGGTGGAGCTTGGAGGGATGCAGCCGGCCCCAGCAGCAGTGTGGGGCCATGGGGCAGAGCTGGGAGCTGCTGTGCCAGCCCCCACCTCCCTTACACCGTGGTGTGGGGCAGAGCAGGCAGCTGGAGGCTTCTGGGGCTGTGGCTGGCGTGCGTCATGGGGCCGGGGCGCAGGTGCCACAACCCAATCTGCTTTAATGGAGCTGCTGCTGCTCCAAGGTGATTGCTACTTTATTGGCTTATTTTTAGCCGCGCGGCCGAGCTGGGAGGAAGATGGATGGGTCTTGTCTTGGGAGAGACTTTTTGCTTGCTGTAGGAGCCCGGGCACAGGGCTTTGAAAGCTGCCTTGAAAACAGCCGGGGTGAATCTCCCCGAGTGTGGGGCTCACCGGGTCCTGCTCCTGCCCAGGGAGGGGTCCCAAGGGTGGGCATGGGCTGGGGGCTGAGCCCGTGGGCTGGGACAGCACCAAGTTATTGGGCTGGGAGGAGAGCAGTGCCCAGCAAGGGGCTGCCAACACAGCTGTTTGCAAAAACCCCCTGGTAAAGCACAAAATGCCAGGCGGTGGTTGGGACAGGGTCTGTCTGCTGGTTGAATCCTCACCTTTATTTCTTGGGTTTCTTAGCTCCCTGCCCCTTATATGGGGACTGAGCAGGGCCAGGTGAGAAGGAGACAAAGAGGACACCCGGTGCTTTCTTGGGACCACTGGGACTTGCACCAGGGCAAAGCAACCTGGAGCATCTCTCGAGGAGCATCCCTGCGGAGGGAAATGCCTCCCCCCAGGTGCCTTGGGCACTGCGTGTGGGCTGGGTTTGCAGTCCGAGCAGGCTGGTGTGGTTGTGACTCGGTAGATGAGTCCTTCAGCAGGGATTTCAGATCTCAGACAAGTTTTCCAGTCGGGATTTCTGCTCCCTGGACAGATGTGCTTCGGGGGGTTTTGTTGCAGGAGCGTTGTCAGGTGTTTATGGCAAATACGCAGCAAGGTGGCGGGATATTATAGGAAGGGGAAAATAAA